AGGTAATAGGGGACAGGAGCAGCGCTCCACCCCATCCCTAAGGCGGCCCAGCTCCTCTTGGACACCACCACAGGCACCACAGCCCTCGTCCCCACGGGCCTGCAGCAGACCCTCCACTTGGCCCAGCTGTGACACTGTGAGATTCAGCTGCAGCACGAGCTCTGCAGTGCTCGCATCCTGAGCGTCCATGCGCTCCTGGAGCTGGCCCACAACCCCTTGTAGCCCCTCCAGCATGGTCTGCCGAGCCTCCCCTGCTGCCTCCAGCTTGTGTAGTCTAGATCCTACCAGCTGCAGCTGGCCCTCGGTGTCCAGTATCCTTCGTTCCAAGGCACTGAGGATCTCATTAACCTGAGCGTTCTGTTCCGTGGGGGCCCCAGAGCAGAGCTGTCCACATGCCTGCACAGCCCCTGCCACCTGCTCTTCCAGCGCGTCCAGGCGCCCACCCAGCCCCCCACTCACGTTGGCCAACAGCCCCTCCAGCTTCTCCAGGCGGCCCCGGGCAGCTGGTAGCCAGTGGCTCAGCCCCCCAGGCCCCACAGGCCAGCCCTCCTCCTGCTCCTCTGAGGGACCCAGGGTAGAGTTGAAGCGGTCCTCCAGCACAGAGAGGCGGGAGGCTAAGCTGGTGTACCCTGGGGGGTGGCCCCCCTGCCCGGAGGCTCCACCCAATTCAGTGCCTCGACGCCCACTCAGCACTGTCACTGAGCCGGCCACCACGTCCAGTCTCCGCTCTAGGTCTGCCAGTCGCCGGGCCAGATCTGGGGGACAGCATTCCTGAGGCAGCCTGCGGCCCATGGCAGGGCCCATAAACTGTCGCTGCCGCTCCTCCACGGAGGCCAGTAGTTTCTCCAGCACTCGAAGGCGCTCCCTGTCCTCCTGCTGCTGCTGGCGGAAACCGTCCAGCCCAGTGAGGCACACAGTGCAGGACTCCTGCAGCCGCCGCTCCAGCTGCCGCAGTAGCTCCTCGTTGGAGCCAGGAGGGGCTGGGACGGTGGCTGAATCTCTGCTGTGTGCACCACCACCGCCACTGTGATGATTGTTGAGATTGCCCAGCTCCTGGTCGTGGGTAGAGACCCGATTGTCCAGGAGCTGCAACTGGTGCTGGATCTCATTGAGGATTTCATGCACACCAGGGCGGGCAGCTGCATCTGCTGGCTGCTGCCTCCCATTAAAAGCTGTCTCTACAGCCTTTTGCACATCTTCTACCAAGCGTCCACTCAGTCCCTGAAGGATGCCCCGAACGCCTTGCAGCTCCTTGGTCAGGCTCTGCACCTGCTCCTCCAGCTGCTGCACCTTCTCTGACTCCCCAGGACCTGGCAAGAGGGAAAAAGTCAGAGTGGCGAGGGGCTGAATGGCAGAGTTCAGGGTCCACCTGCTAAGCCCTGCTCTTCCCAGCTCCTGCAGGTTAGAGGCTCAGGCCTGGCTCGCTCTGCTTCCTTTTTGTGTGATTTGGTAAGAAAAACAAAACAAAACTCCATTGACTGGATGCCTTTAGGCTAAATTTAAACCAAAATTCTTACAGTTTTTCCCCTGGGCAGGGGAAAACTATGAACTCTGCCTGTTTAGTGGTTCAGGAAACAGAAGACAAGAGATGTTAGGGAACTGGCCATGGATTAAAAGTTTAAGGAGTAACAACACCAAAATCAAATCCAGATCATCTCTCTGGTCATCAAGCACATGCCCTTCCCCCTTGTGGACGCTTGTCCACAGTGTCTCTTGACTTCTGTCTAATTGTTTCCTCATCTGAGAAATGAGAGAGTCCTTATGCCCTCCCTCTTAGGGCTGTCAAAAGGCATAAAATGGGAAGTCAGGGAGAGGCACTTTGCATACCACGCGTTAGCAATGACAGCACTTCCCTACACCAACGTGGGAACAAACAAGAGGCCCAAGCCAAGCCTGCTAGGGGTTTGGCTGAGCGGCCAAAGAATCAGCCAGAAGTTCCTGTGTCCATAATTATAGTAAGGCTATCTCTGGCAGGAAAACAGTATATCCGGTGTGTCCAGGACATGTGCATGCAAACACAAGGGAAGACAGCAATAGGCGCTGGTGCATTCTGGGACCTGTAGTCTCCAGGGGTCACAGAGGGCCTGGGGCATGTAGTCAGGGGCAGTGCATGCTAGGATTTGTAGTCCCAGCTGTCTTCCCCATGGACTGGCTTCTCAAAGGAATTCCCCTACTCTTGCAGATGTTGGCAACTAGGAAAGATCTTGTCCGCATGTGGGCGCCTGTGAGCACATTCTGTCTTTTCCTATAGCCCTGGTCTCTGGTTTCTTGGTTTTCAGATCTCTCTCTCTCTCTCTCTCTCTCTCTCTCTCTCTCTCTCACACACACACACACACACACAATCTCAGCGACCTCTTCTCTCTGATTTAAAACATGGTGGGGTCCCCTCCGCTGTCTTGCCCACATTCCCCTCAGCATGATCGCTGCGCTCTCCACACTCACCTTCTCCCCCTAGTCCGCTGAGGTGGCTGCCTGCACTGGAGCCAGAGAGGTTGGGGCGGGCAGGCTGGGGCCGGGGGTGTGGTGTGGAGGGTGCGGGGCCCAAGGCAGGGGCAAGACCCTCCGCACAGTCGTCTCCCCCGTACCCCTGACAGCACCGCCACTCCATGTCTGTCACTGTCTTGTAGACCACACGGTAGCGAGGGCGGAGGAAGCTGCGGTACCTGGCAGAGGCAGAGCGGGGCCTCTGTGATCACGTTGTGCTTGCTGTCTGTGACCCCAGTCCTTGTCCTTAGTGAGCAAGACCTGTCCCTCAGGCTAAGTCCTCCTTCCTGGCCAGCATGTGACCTTGCTCGGTTGACAACTATCAGCTTTTTGGTCAAAGACCAGATCCCTGTCCCATCCCCCTCACACCCCCTACACACCTGAGACAGGATCCTTGAGCTCCTCCTCTGGAGGAGACCAGTCCCAGAGAAGGCATGTGGATGACAGGTCAGGGACATGAGTCCACTGTATCCTGCCAGCCAGCCGTCTCCCTGGCATCTCCCCTGCCCTATCCTGCTACCTACCTCGTAGACCCCCTCAACTGCCTGCTCCTCCACCTGCTGCCCCGGTGCAGCACCCAAGTGCCTGTTCCCTGGTGCTGGGGACTCACATGATGTTTCGAGGACACTGGGGCTGGCCCCAGCTGCAGGGCTGGTAGTCTGGCTTGATGAAGGTCTCCACTCCATCCCCAAGGACACAGCTCACTGTCCGGGTCACCACGTAGGCACACCAGTTCCTATAGGCACAACCCTACCTGGGCTCAAGGACCAGAAACACGTGGCCCAGAATAGAGCGCAGGGCTCTGAGCAGGGTCGAGGGAAGGTCAGTGGATGAAGGGCCCTTGGGGATCAATGGGTGGCAGCCCCCCACGCTTTCCTGTTTAGCCGGAGCACATAAAGACTTTTCAAGCTGGAGAGAAGCACCAAATGGAAACCACAGCTGCCGAGAAGCCAGTCCTCATGGCTGGGCAAGCTGGGGAACCTCCACATTCACAGAGTCATTTATGCCCCTTACGGTTGTGCCATGCTGAATGCGAGCCAGCCTGCTGGGTGCCTGCGGAGTCTCCTAGACATGGCTTTTTGACCCCGACCTCAAGGGAGAGGAGAAGGCAGGCTAATTCAGCTTGGGGTTAAGGAGAGAATAAGCTGCTGTTGAGCCTGGCCCCCTTGGGGCTCGCAGTGCTGTACTCTGAGCCTCATTACGCAGCCTCTGATCTGTGGCCACAGGAGAAGGAAGGGGGCAGCACCAGGGTGGTGTCATAGTTATGGACTGCTGGGGCCAAGGAAGCCCTAAAAGGGACAAAAGGGCTGCCTGAGAATCCAGAGCTGGCATCTAGCTCATGGCTGGCGGGAAGGCCTGGCCCATACCTCTCAGCATTCCCTGGGCACAGAGCTGTAGGTCCTGGTTAGGGAGGAGCAGGGAGCTGGTCCCACTTAGCCTGGCCCCCAATAAAAGCCGCAGGGAAAAGTGGGCATGTGAGGACCACTGATGGATGCGCACCTCTCTGCCCTCTTCCCTGGATTAGGGCCGCAGGCTGGGAAGGGCGGCCAGCGCACCCACCTTCTGACTGCCTTCCTCCAGCCTCCAGCCCTGGACTGAGACCCAGACTCTTACCTGTGTCGGCTGGCAGGCCGGGGAGCGCTCTGGGCCTGGGGTTCCCCGGGGCTGAGGGCCCGGCTGCCCCCTGTGTAGAGGCTGTAACCTCGAGGTGGATAGCTAGCAGCCCGCACAGCTGTGGTCAGCAGGCAGCAGAGGTAGCAGCTCCAGAAGGTGCTGGGGGCCATGGCGGGGCACTTTGAGGCTGCCCTCAGAGACACATCCCAGCCTGACCACTGGAGCCTCTGCCGGGCCCCAGGGGATGCTGCCGCTCCAGGGGACAGCACGCCGGGGCCGGTCCTGTCCCTGCTTCCTGCCGGCAGCCCCTAGCCGCACACCACCTCCTTGGCTGCCAGGCCTGACCCCTCTCCCCCTCCTCCTCCCTCCTCAGGCTCCCAGTCTGTCCCTCCCTCGGTTCCTTCCGCTCTCCTCTTCTCCACTTCTGAGGGGAGTCTGTTCTCCGGGCCCCTGGCCTCCTGTGCCTGGCTCCTACCCCTCTAGATGCTGCCTGCTGGGCCTCCGCCCCTTGTTCAGCTGGCCTTCTTCTGGGGTCCCTGTCCTCTCTGATGACCGGATCCCAAGGGTGACAGGGCTTTGCCCCTGTGGCCGTTCAGAGGCGCAGGAGTGACTGCGGGGCGGGCTGCCTCCTCCCTCCCGGTTCCCTCCTTTCTCTCCCGCTGTCTGGCTGGCGGTCCAGCCTCCCCCTTCCTCCTCCCCCCCCCCCCACCTCTCCAACCACCATACGCCACATCTGCTTCTTGTTAACTCCGGGAAAGAGAGAAAAAAAAAAGGAAAAACAGAGAAATGTGGAGTTACCGCCTGGCTTGGGGCCAGTCCCTCAGACAGGCCACATGAAACTCGAGCCAAAGCTGCACAGGAGGCCCTGGGCTGGTGACTGGGTGGGGAATGGGAGCCAGAGCCACAGCTCCTCTGGGCCAGGACAGCGTCCTAAGGGAAGGGACAAAGAGGGAGCCACGAGGAGAGAGCGGAGGGAGCAGGAGGACAGGAGGACTGTGCAGGGGAGAAGGATGAGCAAGGCCCTGAGCCCCTCTGCACCACTGGTCCAGCTGGGAACTCTGCAGCCCGTGCTGGGAAGGTAACTTGTCCAGGGCCACACGGCAAATCAGTGGTAGGGAGGGATGTGACCAAGAGAAGAAAGGCCCTCTTTCTTAAAAGGCCCAAATCCATATAAACACTGAGGCTGTTGTGGTGAAGGCCAGCCCGTTACTACAGTGGGGTGGGGGTGGGGGAATGGTAAATGGAGACCTGGGTGTAGCTGTAAAGGAAGTCACTCCCAGCCCATGGGCTGCCTCCTGTCTGCAGCCTGTCAGAAGCCCCTGGTGGAACATCTCATCTGCGAGCCTGGACCCCAGCACCATGTCTGGACCAGGGTCTGCAGTACTGGTTGCTGGGGAGACAGAAGCTAAGGGAGACAGAAAGGGACCGGGAGAGTGCTGTGTGCCAGGTCCCATGGAGGTGCCCGCTGGGCAGAGGTACACCCAAGACTCAGCTGCTGCCAGTTCAGGCTGTTGGGAAATGGGACCCAGCCCCAAAATAGAATGGCCCCAGTGCAGGACAGACCAACTGCCAAGAGGCCTGGACAAAGGGATGATGTGTGTTCTGGTTAGGGGAACAGAGGAGGCAGCTGGCTGCTGGGGGTAGCCGGAGGAGAGCTGCTGGATGAAACAGAACTTGGACAGTGCCGTCAGTTTTAGTGGGGTGGGAGGGCAGAAATTTCAGGCTCAGGGGAAGTGGTCCGCCTTAGTTTCCTTGTAAACGGCATAGGGATACCGTTACTAATAGTACCATCCACCCTAGATTCGAGAGAGTGATACAGCATTTTACAACCGGTCCAGGAACATGGAAAATGCTCAGTAAACAGTAGCTCTTATCTGTCTCAAACAGGAGCAAGACAGAACCCAGAGAGGTAGAGTGTGAGCAAATGAGAGAGAGATTCAAATGGCTGATTAGGAAGTTCAGTAGCATTGCTTTGAGCAGAGGAGCACATATACACACACAAAGAAGGATGAGAGGGGACAGGTGACAGGGGACACTGGACATGCTGTTGGATGTCCCAAAAAAGGAAGGGAAATTTGACTCCTCACCTGTACGACAGATTGCGGGTTCAGTGACTTCCATCACAGAAAGAGAACTTTCTGGATGCTTTAGTAAGAGGCATAAAGAGATTTATTTAGAAAAGAAAAGTACACACTCCAGAGTGGTGTGCGGGTGTTCAGAGATGAGGCACATTATATCCTAGAAGGGGGAACATTTATGTTTCTCAAGAGGGAGGAGAAGCCTGCGGAATCTGCGAGTCTATAGGAAGTTCCACCCTGCCCACCCCAGGCTCATTTTACTGGTGCAAGGTGTGTACCTGGGTTTTGGTTCTGTTTTTTTAGATGGATGATCTAAGCATTCTTTGAATTTTCTGATGCATTTTCTTTCCCTTAAGGTTTTTCCCTTTGCCCTTTACTTTTTCAGCTAAGCAGTATGGGCTTGCATTATCCTTAAGGAATTTTGGGTCTGATGGGTTTGGAAGAAAAAAATTTAGCCTAGGGCATGCCGGCATGGGTAGCCTTGGGTAGCTGAGGGTGCCCTGGAAGCTGTAATCCTCTTCAGCGTATGGTTTTTTTTAAAGTATGACTTTCCATATCTACTTTCTACCTGTCTTGATTTCTTCTCTCTTACCTCAAGTACCTCTCCTCCATCTAGACTGGCTTTCAGCAAATCCCACGCCACCATGGAAGGTCTGTTTCTAGGCCCCTTCCAAATTCTACAGTGCAAAGTGATATAGATAGACTCTGATGGTGACAATGACCATGAAAAGAAAGGGAAGGTTGTGATTGCTTGGTGACTACTTTGGTAGTCAAAGGAAAGGATACTCCAGGGATGATTCCATGTTTTGAGCCAAAACAGGGCAGATGGAAAGAAGATAAGCTTTGAAAAAAGGTGATCTTGGGGCTGAGGATTTAGCTCAGCGGCATAAGCACCTGCCTTGCAAGCAGGCCTTGCAAGCAGGCAGTCGTGAGTTCAATCCCTGGTACCGATAAAAAGGAAAAAGACAAAAAAAAAAAAAAAAAAAAAAAAGAAATACAGTTGCAATTGGTTGTATTCCATTCAGTCCTATAATTAGGAGTCAAGACCTAAGAGCCGACACAAATGTTTATGAGCTCTGAAATAAAACAGTAGCGATGGTGGCATGGGGTGGTGGACGGTGGTATTAGCAGACAGCCACAAATTTCCAAAGCAATTGGCAACAATTGCTAATACTAAAAAAGGCCAAGTCCATGGAGCACTAGAAAGGATGTATTTTACAACTTCTTCAAGATGGGGGATTTCCAAACTCTTGGCCATACTACAAACTCATTCATTCAGCCATCGCTGACCGAGCATGGACTCATGTGCCCACAGCCAGGGGAGTCAGGAGCACTGGCAACAGGGAATGCTTTACGTCTAACCCCTTCATCAGAGGACTATTAGGAGGAAAAAGGGGAAACCGAGTGAATTGGGCCTTGCATCTGCCAAATCAGGACTTCAAGCTTGTGGGAGTCTTGACTCAAATTCCACTGCTCCCCAAACTCAAACAATTTTGTTTTCCTTTTAGGTACCAAACTTCTGTAGCCAGTCTCCCTGGAGACAAGACCCAGTCCTCCCTTCCTCAGGTCTGTTAATTTCTCACTCCTCAGCAAACTTCTGGCCTCATGTCCTGTCCTTGAAAAGTCACACTAATCACAGATACTGTAAGTACCCCTCCTGAATCCCCCCAGGAGATACTGTGCCTGTCTTCCTTCCCATATACTTTTCCATCCGAGCTTTTTCCAGGCCTTGTGGGTTCTTAGCTGAGTCCTGTTTGGTCCAGATCATTTTTTATTTCAGTTCTTCCAGGCCAAATGATCCATTCAAGGCTGATAAAGACTTGGCTGACCTCAGCACAGGAAGTTCTGAGAGGTGAAGGACATTTTCGGGTACTTCTAAAATAAATCCTTTCCTTCTTGCCTTTGACCCTAGGGCATCCTAGAGTCCACAGTCTGTCATGGAATGTAGAAGCATAGCCAGGTTACCTTCTGGGCCTCTATTTCCTTCTTTATAAAATGATCTTAAAGACATCCTTTAGCTGTGATGTAGGATACTGTGTACCTGGGTCAGCTGGGTTAGGACAGCCTTGGGAATCTCAAGCATTTTCCAAGGATTTCTATTGTGTAATTTGCAATCTAGAAAGGATCAGCCCAGAGGTGCAGCTTCTTTTAAAAAGCAGGTCTAGTTCTGATCAAACAGAAGACCTAAATGTCTGGTTGGACTTGGGTCTGCTTCAGATTTCCAGGAAACATGAAGCATAACGATGTATAATCCTTTAAGACCTAGATCCTTCACTGACTCCAAGCAGAGCTGGGAACAGCAGCTCAGGAAAGGGATGAAAAGGCGAACACGTCTGGGTTTCCCCCGTGTTACGTGGAAGGGTTGTGGGCTTGGGATTCTAAATATGAAACTTCTGGGAAATGGTGGGGGCTCTAGGGAGAGCCAGAGGGAGGGCAGAACTATAAACCAAGCAGGAATTGAGTGTAGGAGTCGCTGTCCTGAAAGGGGGAGGGGAATGATGGGACACAAACTGTGGATGGTTTCTGGCCAGGGAAACTCACTCTGCACACATGAGGCACACTGGTCCCCTGTCCTTGCTCTTGGTGCCCCAGGGCAGCTCCCGGAGTTTTCTTTGGCTTAGAGAAGCAGAGGCCTCCCCCGAGCCCCGGCCCCCCTTTACCGCAAAGCAACTGGCTTCTATTACCCCTGACAGCCCAGCAACAGCCCAGCCCCCGGCCCTGTCTGGCTCCTCGCCGTTCCCTTTTATGGTGAAGCTCAGAGAAAGCAAGGAGTGAGGGGGAGAAGGTTCTAGCTGGGCAGAGGGTTGCAGAGCTCCAGTGCACTACTCCCCTCACCGGAGGCCCGCCGGCCGCCTACCGCAGCCACCCCCTTTTTCTGACCCGAACCCGCGACCTTGCTCGCCTGTCTTGGCCTTCCCTCCCTTCCCCCGTCCCTCATATCCGGGAGGTGGTTATTTCCCGCATGGCCCGGGTCCCATGGTTTGGGTGTTGATTCGGGGAGGGTCTGCCTTCTCTCACTTCCATCTCCAGGAGTGGGGTGGAGGCCAGGATCCCGCGCAAGGGAGGGACTGGTCAGGTCTCAGTCAGGGTCGGCCTGCTTGGTCGGATGGAGTCGAAAAGGCTGAGCCGGCAAGAGGAGCACCGGGAGCCTCAGCCCTGACCCATGCTGCGCCGCCTTTCACTCGGTTCCCACCACCCGAGCCAGGGAGGGGGCCGTGAGAGCAGGACTCAAAGGAAGCACCTGGCCGGGCCGGGCCGGGCCGACCGGGAAGCGAAGGGCGGGCAGCAGCGCGGGGATCGGCGCACGCAGCGGGCTGGGACCCGCGGTCAGTCCGAGTCTCCCGCCCGGCCCCGCTGCCGCGGCTCAGCCAGTCCTTGACTCCGCAGCGCAGCCACCACAGCTTCGCTAAGCGCGCCCCGGGCAGCAACAGCTGCGGCCAGCTGCGGCCAGCTGCACGGCTCCGGGCGGAAGCGCGTCTCCGCGGCACCCACACAGCGAGGGACGCCCTCCCGCGGCGGGCCCGAGAGCCCGCCCCCCGCGCGCGGCGCTGGAGCAGGCGAGATAGCGGGCTAGAGTGGCCGTTCTGAGGCGCCGGCCGGCCGGCCGGAAGTCGCTGATCCGCCCCAGCTGGCGCTGCGAAGTTCCGGCCTAGCGCTCGCTTGTGCGTAGGCCGAGTCGGAGCCGCGGCGGAAGGCAGTGCAGCTGGTCAGGTGAGAGGCACTCGGGCGCCGTCTCAGGGGCCAGCCCCGCGGCGGTGGACCGCGAGGGCGAGGACTGGTCCTGGCCAGGGCAAGGAGCGCGCCGTCCCGAGGTTCAGCCCTTCCCTCCTCTGCAGGATGATCACCGACGTGCAGCTCGCCATATTCGCCAACATGCTGGGCGTGTCGCTCTTCTTGCTTGTCGTTCTCTATCACTACGTGGCCGTCAACAATCCCAAGAAACAGGAATGAAAGTGGCGCGTTCTCTGCCCCAGGTAACGTCTGGGGCTCTAGCGCCCGGCCCCGGGAAGCTCAGAGGCCGCGCCAGGGCCTGAAGGGTCGAGATCTGAAACCAGATAATGTCGGGCCAGGCATGCGATTCCAGAACGGGGTCCTGTGCTTTGCAGTGCAGTGCCCTGCCCTTCTCCGTGTTGGAATGGGGGCGGGGTTCCTAATCCTCAGCCTCATCTTCTCGAGGTTCCCCGAGGCAGATGCTCAAGTTGGGGTACGGTTACAGGGAGGTGCTGGCACTTGTAGGAACAAGGATAGCTACTAAGGTGCCATCCAAGGATGAGGCTCAGAGCGCTTAACTAGCCTCCGCTTTTCCAAGGTTGCTGAGTTTTATTTAGGCAGGTTTATATTATTTTGTATTATTTTTTGAGAGGATGAAAGATACAGGTGTTTATTTTCTTGCTGCGAGGCCCACGGCAGAGGGTGGGAGGTTCCGGGAAACCAGTCTTCAGTGTGGGGTAGAAATGGGAACAGCAGGATGGGAGTTGACTTCTGAAGGACTCCCCAGAGGAATGCCACAGCGTTTTCCTTACCTCAGGTCTCTCCCCCTCTTTTCTAGGGTTCCAGGACATAGTCTGAGGCCAGATGGAGGGTGTGAGGGGCCTTCACACTTCATCCCTTCTGCCCATCACAACATACAAAGCAACTACACCTGGAGTTTTCCAAACAAGTTTTATTTCCTCAAAGTCTTCTTAACCTTATGGAACAAGAAGCTGCCACTGAATAGGGCCCAGTATGGGGGCTGTTTTCTTTTCTACTCCCCAATACAAAAATATATATATATATATATATTTTGTGGTCCCAAACGTTTGTGCTGTGGAGGGAGGGGAGGGGTAGTAAGTCCCTGCTTGGTGCTGTGTCAGTGTGAAGCCCTGCAGTGCTTCACACGGTGTGACTGGCATTCCGAGGAGTTAGGCTGTCACATGGCGTCAGCAGCTGAGAGAGGAGGCCAGCAGAGTTTTCACTGTGTTTCCCCCCTTTGGGCATTAAGGAAAAGGCATTTTCAGACTCGGGGAGAAATGGTGAGTGGAGGAGATTTAGGGATGAAACAAACCTCAGGTTGGCCCAAGGGACCCCCACTGTAACAAATCCGGGGTGGGCAGTCAGATAGAGTACAGGACATAGGAGAAAAGGCAGGGGCAGAGTGGGGCCGTGGGAGGCCGACCTGAGGCAGCCTGCAACAGAGAAGAAAGAGGAATCAGGGCTGTGGAAACACCACCTCTTCTGGTCTGTCGATTGGGCTTCGAGGTGAGAGATGAAAATGGGTATGGCCAGGCAGGGTGGTTAGTGCACAGAGGTCCGATCTGAACAGCTAGCTAGCTCCTAGGCCTGAGGCCCTAACCTGGTTGTTTTCTTATCTTTTCAAGTGAAGACTGAGGCCATGATGGAGTAAAAGTCGGGGACTGATTTCTTTTTTGGTCTTTCTCCTTTTCATCGGTACTGGGGATCGAACTCACGACTTCCTGTTTGCAAGGCAGGCGCTTATGCCGCTGAGCTAAATCCCCAGTCCCCGGGGACTGATTTCTTGATGAAGTACATTTAGTCAAAGGGAATGGGGAAGGAAGAAAATTACGCCGAGTGGCAAAATGGGGATGGACTGATGGAAGAACAGAGGGGTGGGGCAAGGGCTGGACCCTGTCGCTCACCCTGGTGTAGCAGAGCAGGGTTCCGGCTCCAGCTCAGTGCTCTCTCTGGTCCTGGGGATAGGGGATGTGGGGCCTGAAGAGCCTCTTATCTCTGTGCAAGCTGGCGGTGAGCCCCGGCCCAGCCCGGGCCTATCCTGTGTGGACAGGAGTAGGCTAAGCGGCTGGCTTCTTCCCTGAGCTTTGCTGCTTCTGGGGTTTCATTGCAGAGCCTAGTATGGGAGTCAGCAGAGGTACGAGGACCTTGAGTTTCTGGGCATTGTCCTAGCTGAGAGGATAAGGGAGGATAACAGCCAGAGAGTTCTTGGATTCAGTTCACAACTGTGCTTCACGTGTTATGTAACCAGGAGTGGTAAAAGGACCTGCATGTAGCCATCATGGAGCGATCATGCCAAGGTCAGGCTGAGTAGGGCAGCACTGCAGAAAGGAGGTGAAGGCCCAGCAGATCTCCCACAGAGCTTTGTAGGCCTCAGCCCCTGCCACAGCAGCTTAGGCTTCACCCATCCAGTCAGCTTCTGTGTGTACCCAGCTTGAGCTAAATGAGCATAGGGATGTGGACTGAGCTGGACTGGTGGCAAGGCTATTCCTAGAAGCAGCAACCAGATGTTACCTGGGGAATCCGGGACCCCTCCTGGCGGAAACTCTCCTCGGGCAAGTCTGGGCAGAAAGAGAGGAGAGGCTAAGGGCGGGGGCAGGGAAAGCCAAAGCAAGCAGGCTCAGGTGTATCTAGCAGGGAGAGTGGGGTTAGAGGCAGGCAAGACATCCAGCTGATGGGGCCGGGTAGGACTGGGCAGGTGTACACTCGGGCACCAGGGCAGCTCTCTGACACGGCAGGAAGGTGAAGCTGTAAAGCAGGCTGAGCCGCTCTCCTCCCGCTCCCTGGGTGAACAGTGCCTTGCTGGCTTCTGCACAGCCGTTATGCTGGAACTGGGAGAGTCCCAAATCTGTTACCTGCAGTCGAGTCCTGATGCAGGGTATCCGAGCACCAGTTCCTAGCAGACTTTTCCCAATCACCATGACAGACTCCGGCTTGTCCTCCGAAGATAAGAGTGAGCACTTGCTACCTAGAGATCATAGGAAAATGACTAAGGCTGGGGCCATGGAGGAAGTAACTTCACCCTTGGCACTTTGGTTTTGCTTTGTTCTTGGTAGTGCAGGGGATTGAACATGGCTTCGTGCATGTTAAGCCAACACTCTACCACTGATTTACAGCCCCTGCATCTCAGCATTACTGACATTGTGGGTTAGCTAATCCTTGGTTGCAGGAGTTACAGTGCAAACTGTAGGATATTTAGCATTCTAGATGCTGTTGCTTCCCCAGACCCTTCCCCATGGTAACAGCCCACCATGCCTCCAAGATGCTGCCAAATACTCCTGGGAGCAAAGTCGCCCCAGTACACTCCGTTCTGGTCCAGGAGATGGAGAAGCAACTTCTGGCTAAATCAGAACCTGCCCAAACATAAATACGCAAACTTAAAGACCCTGGGCCTCCCCTGCTCATATTTTAAAAGGCTCCACTCTACCCAAGACCCGTACTGAAGCCCCCTGTTGAGAGCAGACAGGGTGTGTCTCTAGGTAAGGCAGAAGTTACTAGCCTGGAGTTTTAGAAATCAGTGCCATCCAGCCTTTTCCACAGCTGGGTCTGAAATTTAAAAGGAAAGTAGGTGGCCAGAGTTTTGTGTGGATGGCAGGATGACATCTGTAGTGCTGACATCTGTAGTGCTCTTTGTCTTTCTCCATTGTTGTCTAACGTTGCCCAGTTCCTGGAGTCAAGACACTTTAGTAGATAGCCCTTGGCAGGTAGAAAGAATTTTCAGGTTCCTCAATTATAAAAGTGAAGATTAAATTAGATAAAGCATGTAAAGGTGTGCCTGGAAGACTGTTTTTAATTTACAGAGACATTCAGTTCAGCCTTCTGTACAAAGCCACAAGGCGATACCACAAGAATAAGGGAGTGCCAAGTCTGGAGTGGCCTATATTCCATGAAGTCAAAAAGGAAGTCTCAGGTGAAGAGGCAGCATAGCCCAAGAGACTTCTTCAGGCCTAGTTGGGAGCCCGATGTAAGCTCTGGGTGATAGGGAAGGGAAGGGGTTGGCCAGTCCAGATTTCAGGGGCAGTGGGTACAGACCTGATACGCTGAGTGAGCTGGACAGCAGGCAGGAGCCCAGACTCTGGGATGAGGCTGGGCCAGAACTAGGAGGGGCTGCTGAGCTTGGGGCCAGGCTGCTTGTAGTAGAGCTATGGGTCAGTGGCTGCTGCCGCCGTCTCCTGTCTTGGCCTCGGGGCTCTGAGTAGAAGGGGCACAAGCAGGAAAAAGGTCAAGCAGGAGAGGCCATTCTGTAGCTGTCACTGACCTGCTGACTGCTAAACCTGCAGCCGCCTGTTCCCAAGGTTGTCACTGGACCTGAAGTAACCAGGATGAGCTGACACCTAGGATGCATTCCAGCTACCCAGCTCTCAGCTAGCCTTCACTGTACCAGTCCACTCACTGAGCAAGAAGTTACTCAGCAGGGCTTCTCAACTGTTTTACAGAGTTCTCGTCTGTCTGACGGTTCTGCCTCTTAAATGTCACTGCTCCCCGCCATTCTGTCCTTGGTCCTTTTGCTCTGCTTACTTTTAAACTCAAATCTCTCTCTAGTCCTTTCGTCCTGAAATCCAGCCTGGTCTGTCCACTGGACATTTCTACCTGGAAGTCCCCCATGACCAAATCAAACTCATTCTCTCCCTCTTTCATTCCTCCTTAACAAAAACCTACCTGCTAGAAACCACATCATCTTGAGTTGAATCCTGTCTTCAGTTCTGCCTCTGCATTCACCAGTGTTCACACACCATCTTTAATTCTGACTTTAAAACACGTTTCCCTACTTGTCTCCCTGGCTTTACTCTCTTCCCTCTAAACCATCCTTCCTTCTTGCAGGCAGCACAAGTTTTTCTGAAACAGGAACCTGGTAAAAAGATTACTGTGGTGTCACATGCCTGTAATCTCAGTAGAGGCTGAGGCAGGAGGATTGCTGCGAGTCAAACAGGTGAGGATGTTCAGTAACATTCACTGACCTGTTGACTGTAGCCTGGGCTACACAGTGAGTTCAAGTCCAGGCTGAGCTACATAGTGAAACCCTGTCTCAAAAAGACCCCCCATCCAAAAAGAAAAAAAAAATGACTGTGGCTTAGGCACAGGAGAATACTGAAGGTGTGGACGTGGGGTGCTAGGGGTCGAAGCCAGGGCCCTCACACTGAGCTACGTCCCAGTCCCAGGTCTCTCTCTTTTTTTTTTTTTTTTCGTTTCATAAGTATTTATTCATTTTGGCAAAAATCTTTTGAAAGTACATAATTATTTGATATTTATAAATTATGATAGTAAGAAATTATCAGGAAGTCATCTTAGAAGATTCACCACAGGTATTTCGGAAATGTTTCACTAAAATAAGATTTCTACTTGATATGTCCTTTTACAATTCAGTTGGCATTGAAATTTTTTTTTTCCAGGTCTCTTTTTAAAATTTTTATTTTGAGAGGCTGGGGATTTAGCTCAGCGGCACTTACCTGGCAAGAGCAAGGTTGTGAGTTTGGTTTGTACAAAGAAGAAAATTTTTTTCTTTAAATTTTGAAAGCAACAACATCACAAGCACCTGCCTGGCAAGCTGAGGGTCCTGAGTTTGAGTTCTGATACCAAAAAGATTTTATTTTGAGATAGTCTTGTTACATTGCTGGTGAGTTATCCCGGCTGGCCTGGAACTTGGGATCCTCCTGCTCAGCTGTCAGGGTGCTGGGCTGTAGCATGTGACACCACACTTGGCTTTTTCTTCTGAGACAGTGCCCCCCCAGCTGCCCAGAGGGACCTTGGAGCTGTGCTCTGCCTCAGCCTCCCACAGGGCTGGGCCTCACAGCTGTGCCATCCCCTGCCCAGTCTGGAGGCCTTTTGAAGGCTGCAGCTTCAGGTAGCCTCCGTAGGAGGCTGATTTGATCCCTGACACCTTCTGCTTCAGCCCCTACTGCTACAAGCTGTGAGATTCCTTTGGTGTTTTTGTTTCTCTTTCCACTGAAACCCTGGCCATCTTCCATGATCCATCTCACGTCACCTCTGTATAAACCAAAAACCGAAAGAAAAAAAGGTCATCTCTGTGAGGCTCCCTGAAGAGTACAGGCAGAATTAGATCGGTTCTCCCACTGCCTGCCTTTGTCCACATGGCTGGCGCCGCCTGCAGAGGAGTCCTCTCCTGGAGTGGAAGCACATGCCTTTACACTCCTCAGGGCGGCCCTCCTGGCCCGTCCTTGTAACTGGCCTCACTAGCACAGGTTCTAAAAGTGGGGTCCCAGTTGGACACATGGGGATGGATGGGTAAGAAGCTTGCAGACTCACCAGGTCCCTCCTCATCCCTCTCCACCACAAGAAATGGGAAGAGGAAAAAATAAGAAAATGAGTGAAAGCCTGCAAGACATTTGTAGGTTCTAGTAACAAGCTGGATGTCACTCCACAAGATGGGAAAAAAGCAAGTAAAGGATGTAAAAGGGTATAAAAGTGAAAAATGAGATCATGGAAAGAAACTGCTTATAACCCAGGGATCCTGCTTCTAGAGTTTCAGGATAGGTCACAAAGTCTGATATAGAAGAGAAGCTCGATTCGGAAAATGGAGGACGTCCCTGACTTATGAATGTTACAGTTTTGAAATTTCACAGATACGAATGGACCTTGCATTGTAAACGTTTCGTACATGACAAATTGCAGTAGCAGCTCGTGGCTACTGGACATTGTCACAACTGTGTGCTGCTGTGTGCCTGCTGTGTAGTACTCAGAGCCTGGGATGTCCAGAAGCAAGAGGAAGTGTAGTGACGTGGGGGACTTCGGGGAAGCACAAAGTATATTGTGTCACAGGTGTGTGACATCTTGTTGGACTTAATGAATCTGACTGACAAACACTGTCCCTGTTCCTACGTTGGAGACTGTGTAAGGCATTTAAAGATAGCACTAATCAAGCATCACTTAAAAGACTGCCTGAAGACCTGGCCAAGCTTCCCCATAACTTGTCAATGAGAAGGCACAACCCAGTTTATCATGTCTGGACTTCCGACCCAGTATAATCCAGGCTTCACAGTCCCTGTTGAGACAAAAAGGAAAAGGAGCCCCAACTCTGTTTCTTGGTTCCAATAGAGACAGCCTGTGGCCTGCTTTCCTTCTAGAGAATAAGATGGAATTCTATGGTGATCAGCTATGAGTTCCACACTGGGCTGCCAGAAGAGTCCTGGCGGCAAGGTCTGAGAGCCCAGCCAGGCTGACCTGGCCTTGCATGTGTTAGAACAGGTGTTCCAGGCCTGCAGGCGACTGAGTGAGTGCTTTCTTAAATGGAGCCCCTTGGGCGCCTCCTACTCTGTTTCTGACAGAGCTGCTGCTTTCCCTCACTGGCACCCTGGCAGCCCCTCCTTAGGCTCTGCTGCCACCTGCTTGTGTATCTTGAAGGCTTTTGATTTCTCCTTCTGTATATTAGCAGTAATTTCCTCCTGTCTTCTCTCAGCCACAGCAGCTACCGGATGGTACTTTCTGTGCTTCTGACATAGTGCTGGGAGCTATGCAGGATGTTTTGCAGCTAGGGCGAGCTAGGTAGAGACGATCCCAGGATTAATGCCAGGGAGGCTGGGAGTCAAGGGTTACTTGGAACTTTTCAGGCTTCTGTGTGGAATTTCAGTTTACACCAAGTTGGCTGCTCCTTGGCCTCACTTCAGGACAAAACTTGTTAGGCTAGTTTACTGAATTTCTGCCCGAAGCTGCTGGTGAGGCTCCCTAGATCTTGCCTGAAATTCCTTGGATAGCCCAAGGTCATGGTTGTTCTAGCCAGTAAAAGAGAATCAATTAAACCTTTACATGTGATATAATCTGTATACTATTAGTGGAAACTGTAGATTCACAAATCAAAAAATCTTGTCAACTCATAATCCCCATTCTTTTAAAGAGATGAAGCACATTTTATTACGGAGCAATGGCAAAGTGTCATGATTTTACACCAACCCCTTGTCCCTCAACCCCAATTTTGGGTTTTGAAAGTACAGCTAGGTAACAGTTACAATTTCTGAGATATGGGCGTGTGTGTATCATGTTCTTTCTAGCTTGGATAACAAAATATATCTAGATATATGGAACCAGGAAACGTCACAGAGAAACAGCATGGGCCAGATAATACTGAACAAAACATTTTCCCGAGGGTTGTGTGAAGATGCCGAGTTCAAACACCAGTCTCTATCACAGCCCCTATCCCAAACGCCTGGCATCTTACAGGATGAAGCTGAGAAAGTCAGTGCCAGCCAATGCCCAGGGGCGCACAGAAGTCTAGACTCCTCGAGCCTCACTTTTCAACTCCTTGCAGTGCCCCTGTTGAGGGTTATTTGTAACTCTCAACTCGATCCCTTGACTTTAGAGACACAGTTTACTAGTTCTTACAAATATTTGTCCAAGTCCCTGGAGTGTTGGTATTCCAGCCAACTTTTTTTTTTCCTGCCTCTGAGCTCACCGACCTAGGAAAACCCGGTCTGCCCTGTTATTGGTACCAGGAATCAGTCGCCGGACCTTGCACTTGTCAAGCAGGCACCGTGCCCCACTGAGTTACATTCCCAGCCCTCGCCCTTGGTTCCTGTGTGTGGATGCCTTGGGGCTCCTCCACCCCAGTTCTTTCTGCCTGCAAGGTCTCTCCAGTGAGACAGCCTAAGAAGCTCCCAAGTGATAACACTTTTTATTCCAATAGTGTCCTAATGTCACTGTAAATTTTCTCCTTAGCTTGCAGCCTTGAAGGCCTCTAGTTCCTTTCTCTTCCATCTGAATCCTGTCATTTCTATTTCTCATACTTTGATTTTAGTCCTGGTTAGGCTGTGGTCAGTGCGTGTGTAGACTACAAGACTCCCACCTCCCCTTTCTTTGCAGTATGTATGATTTAACAGTAATCTCTTTGTTCCTGATACTTTTAAAAGTACACAGTTGTAGGCTGGGGATTTAGCTCAGTGGTACAAGTGCCTGCCTGGCAAGCATGGGGTCATGAGTTTGATCCCCGGTACCAAAAAAAAAAAAAAAAAAAAAGTACACAGTTGCTACCATGTGACATAGTTATCTCATAATCTTGTGTTTTAAGATACCTCAACCTGTCAGCTCTCTTCATCCAGTTTCCTAGATGAAGTGCTACATACACATGCTTTAAGCCTCTCTACCCAGGAACTCTGTTCTTGATCCTGGCTGCCATTTCTCACTCTGGAATGTTTTTTTTTTTCCCCCACATTGGGGACAGAACTCACGACCTTGCACATGCTATGCAGACGCTTGTGCCACTGAGCTAAATCCCTGGCCCTCTGGAATGTTTTTGTAAAGCATACACTACTTGCATACAAAACTTGTTTCTCTACTGACCATTTTGTTGATTAATGATTGTGTTGATCTACGTAGCCCCCAAGTGTCCTGGACTGTTTATAATGTGTGTCTTTAATGACCTGTTTTCTCTGTTAAGTTTCAAGTTAGTCAACCAGGAAATCAGTACTGAAGCAGTACATTTTCTGTTAGTTATTTGGTGAAGTAACAAATAGAATGCATCCCTCCACCTCAAGGAGCTCAGCATAGCACCTGCCTCAGGAGGGGTACAGAGAGAATGTCCAAATACTGATTAAAAAGTGCATAGGCTCCTCCAATGAAGACCTAGAAAAGGCTCTTTACTATTTACTTTGTGGTCAGGGATGCTGAGGAAAGAACTGCCAGGAACTGTGAGTTATGAGCTAGGAGAAACTGACCAAAAGAAAAGGAAGGAAGGGGCTGGGGATTTAGCTCAGCAGCATAAGCGCCTGCCTTGCAAGCAGGCAGTCGTGAGTTCGATCCCTGGTACCGATAAAAACGAAAAAGACAAAAAAAAAAAAAAAAAAAGAAAAGGAAGGAAGAAAATTAAAATAGAACAACTGAATCCAGATTTAACAGGAAAATGTAGGGACAATGGAGCATGAAAAGTCGTACATTGGAATAACTGGCACTTAACAGCTGTGCAACTTGGACAAGACACTTTTAAAGAGTCTTAGGTTTCTTGATTAGAAAATGGGCTGGGTGTGGTGGTGCACACCTGTAATCCCAGCACTTGGGAAGCAGAAGCAGGAGGATCACTGAGTTCGAGACCAGCCTGGGCCACATATTGAGTTCAAGGCCGGCCTAAACTACACAGTGTCTCAAAAACAGAACAGAACAGAACAGAACAGCAATACCACCCATCCCACAGGTCCTTGTGAGAAATGAAATTATTTATGTGCTATTGTTCACTATTAAATGCTGCTTACACATCAGGTATTATTATTACTTTAATAACTGCCTTTTAAACACAATGCACAAAAGTGTCTTTTCCCAACAAAGACAGACTCTAGAGAACGGGGTTTGGAATACAAACAGCATCAAGTTGAGTATCAGTAATAGGACATCTTAACAGAAAAGCTGGTAAGCACAGTTGCTCTCTGCAGATTCTCCAGAACAGTCAGAACTGTGGCCACTAACCCAGTGCATGCCACTAATGTTCCACAAGTAGAGTACCGGCTGAGTATCAGAAATGCAAGTATTGACCGGAGACCAGAACTCAGCTCCTGCTTACAGGCAGCGATCTTTAGTAAGAATGCTCGGGGAAGGGACCGCAGCACTGCTCTGTGGTGTAGCAGGTTTCCAGAAGTGCTGCGGCAGGCAGCCTCCTCTTCTACAGCTTACTCTCAGCTATTTTCTCTCTAAACACTCATCCATACATATTTTTAAACCAGAATCTCTTTATCAGGCAAAATCAAGGAACAGGTGATGGACAGTGTTTTTTCTTTTTTTGAGACAGGCTCTCACTATATAGTTAAGACTGGCCTTGACTGTGTTGCCCACACTGGCCTGGACTCGAGGTGATGCTGCTGCCTCATCCTCCCTTATTGTGCTGGGATTACAGCTGTGCGTCACCACACTCAGCAAAGATCTTCCTTTGTTTTTTTGGTCTTGTACCAGGATCAAACTCATGACCTTGCATTTGCCAGGCAGGCACTGTGCCACTGAGCTATATCCCTAGCCCAAGATGATGGACAGTTAACTGGTGCCCACAGCTGGAAAAGGCTAGGTTGTTGGTTTGTGAGCTTTAGAATTCTTTTTTTTTCCCTGGGAAAAGCTGGAATCCTGATAGCAGTTTCTGAATAAACTTTGGAGCCAGGAGCAATTTTATCCCACAAAGGCCATGGGCAGGTTTCCTCATTCTGCAGGCTGAGATCTGGGTTCTGAGCACATTTGCTTCTACTGCCCCAGAAGACACACTGACAGAATCCTTGCCGTGGGAGCTCCGTATCTGTTTGGCACTGCTTCGGCTAGCGCTCACGCCTCGGAAACCTGCCTAGCTCTTGGCATGTGCTGAAAGCCCAGATCCCAGGACTCCCACTCACACCCCCTCAGTACCCCTGGGAGTCACGCTGCAGGGAACACCGAGGTTGCAGATTCTGCTACACGCTAGTTTTATTGATCCACCCCTTGGACCTGGGCCTCCAGCTCTCACTTCCCCCAGCAATGCCCCAAACAACCGAACACCTGCTGCAAGGGCTCCCAGACTGGCTTACCTCTGACAGGGGCCAGCACCCGATGGCTGACTTTTTGAGTGCTAGTGCCCAGGCCTGGCAGCCCTGCAGGCCGACTGCCATGACAAGGGAAGCTGGGGGAATTCTTCATCTGTGGAGAATTTTGTTGGCTGCTGTTGCTGCCACCAGTACTTGTGCCAGTGCTAAAACTTCGTGCCCGGCTCAAGGTGTTTTCAGAGCAAGAAATGGGAAATCCACTGCAAAGAAGCAGATGTCAGTTAACCATGCCCCAGGAAGGCTGTATCCCAAGGCTTTTTTCAGGGTCTGATGCTCGGGAAATTTTCAGCTCTGGGGTAAATAGGCCTGGGGACCTACTCTCAGGAAGAAGGGAGGGACTCATGTCCATGATTGAGGTATCTGTCCTGGAGCACAGCACCAGCATGCCGAGAAGCACGCAGCCTCCTTTCCCAGTGAGTTTCCCCTCACAGCTTGGCCACCGGCCCTGACTCCTTTCAGTCAGGCACAGAGACCTGCTGAGACCTGCCCACCCCTAGACTGCAGTACGGTTAGATTGTGTGCAGGGCTCGGAAGCAAGGGCCCTGGTCTGATTCTCAATTTCAGTCTGCGTGAAAGGGAAGGGAATCCTATTCTCAAAAATGGAATTAATCTTACTAATTTTAATTTACCCAGAAAATATCTACCATATGGCACTTTTAAGAGGGAGAAACACAAATCCTGGGAACCCCGTGCTGCAGGGCCCTGCCCACCCCTCCGCCCTCTTTCCCTTTCGTGCTGCTGGTCTTACTTGTTACTTTTGGGTGGAGTCCGAGGGCCTCTCTTCTTGTTGGCACCCACGTTCATGGTGCTGCTTAGGCCGCGACTGCTGCGCACATGTTTTAGCATCCAGGCCCTCAGGTTAGTGAGGCTACTGTGCTCCGACAGCACAATTCGGGGCCATGGGTTACATTCTGCCATGTCCAGAGCGGCGATGGCCATAGCGCGGCCCACCTGTAGGCGAGTCCACTTTGGCTCAGCATGTTGCCCCTGTACCCTAGGACGCCATGCTGGGTGGGGTACATAATGCAGTAGAAGAGGCCAGACACTGTGATCAATGGGTGCCCTAACATTTGTGCTCACGATTATCTTTGACATTTACAGCCATTCACTAAGCCACTGCCCATTTCAGGATCTTCGTCCATTATAAGCAAGAGCCAGACTGCTTTCTGGCTGGCACCATGAGGGAGTTCTCTAAACAGAAGGAATTTGAATCTCTTTACTACAACTCTTTCTACTCTTAGGTATCCTAGAATAACTACTCAAGACCACAATAAGGGAGTTGGTGGTTTTGAGCCCAGGAGTGAATAACCCAAAGAGGATGAGAGAGACTAGCAGAGAATCCAACTCAGGTGTGCGGGGCCAGGGTCCTTAACCTCCAGGCCAAAGACAGGTCTGTCTGTTTAGAAACAGGACATCACAGGTGGGTGCACAAACAAAGTTTCATCTATTTACAGCTGGATCCCATCTCTCACATCACAGCCTGTGCTTCACCTCCTGTCACGTCAGCACTGGCATTAGATTTTCAGGGGAGTGTGCACCTTACTATGAACTGCACATATGAGGGATCTAGGTTGCAGGTTCCTTCTGAGACTCTAAAACCTGATCGAAGTGGAGTTGAGGCAGTGATGTTAGCACTAGGAGGAGCTGCCAGCACAGGTTAACATCAGCAGAGGGCTGACTGCATGATGATCAATGTCATACCCTGGAGTCATCCTGAAACTATTCTCACCATACCTGCAGCCCATAAAAACACTTCCATGCAACCAGCTCATTGCCAAAAAGGCTGAGGACGGCCCTGTGGCTTAAGATCACACACAGCCTGTTTGTCCTTTCAATACCGCTCAGTCAGAGTAATCACAGCGGTGAGCATCTCACAGAGGACCTTAGAGTTGGGCAGCAGGAGTGAAGCCCTTTCCAGACTCTGAAGCCCCCCTGCCGCCCCCTTATTCCACTGGTCCATACCTGCTCAAACAGCTCCACAGTGTATCTGGAGGGGAAGGCCGGAGGGGGAGGGGGGCTGGCTCGCCCATTGTCATGGCAGGCAGCAGGGATGCTGTTTACTGAGCGTCCAGTGTTGTAGTTGCATTCAAGTGTGTAGCTGAGACACAGAAACCTTTATCAGTGTCCGGCCTGAATGGTATCAGGACACAAGCATGGGAGACAGCTCAGACGCTTTGAGAAGGAAACCACTTGAAGAACAGTGAACCCAAACAGAAAACGCTATAATCCCCAGCAATGACTAGCAGCTGACTTTGGCACTACACTGTGTACCCAGGAGGTCCCAGCAAAGTAGTCTAAAACTAAAGACAATCTTGTTTTGAGGCTCCTTTGGGAAGACTTGGGCAGTCCCGGCCCCTCAAACACCCTGGACTGAGTACTGTTTTCTTTAGGGAAGCATTTCCTCAACCTTATCCCAGTTTCCACCCAACCTGTGGATTATCCCTGAGGCTTTGTAGATTGCAACACGGCCGCTTCCCTCTTTGGACTGGCCATCTCTACGGTCTCGGGCATACATGTTCTTCTCTGAGAAATTGCAGCCCTGGAAGTCAAAGTGGGCTGAATTCAAGGAGATGAGTTTTGGATATAGCATGTTTTCCACCTGTTTGGGGGAGGAAAAAGGCAGCTCAGAAGGAGAAGCAGAAAGAAGGGACAAGGAGCAAGGAAACAGGGCAAACATGGGGCCATGTGACAGTTCTACAGCAGACACCATCACAACAAACCACAGTGACCAGTGTTTCCGAATTCTCACTGTTGGGCGTCATTGCCAGGCATTAGGAAGGTTTAATTGTACCTTTTTAAAAATTCTTAGCTTCTTCCCTTCAGTAATGCAAAATTTCTTCTCCTGCTTCCTCAAACTCCAGGAACCATTGCAATGCTGGTAGACTGACCCTCATTCAAAGTCGAGATCTAACTGCCGAGACGCGAGGCCCAGGGCCACCTCTTCTTGGCAGGCCACCTCTGCACAAGCCTTCTTGCTAAAATGCTGCCTTCCCTCCCTGCGTGGCCTGACCCTTGCCTCCTAACCTCAACACTTCCCACACGCACACGGCATCTTCAGGACTCGTACCTGGGTGTTCTCATCGTTAAAGCTGTTCCCATACATGAAGCAGCCCCTTTTGGACGCATGTCCGTGCAGGTCCACATAGTAAGCAACGCCACTCTCTTTCGGGGGGATGGTGTCAGGGGCTGGCTCCTCAAGCTCAGGAGACTGCTGTGGCATAAGCCACACACTGCTGGCCTTCTGTTCTGCCGGCTCTGTCTGGGTCCAGGTCTCAGGGTTGTCTCCATTAGATGGCTGCCCAAGGGGGGCTTCATTATAGAGACTGTTGGCTTTCTCGAGATCAGAAAGCGGGGCATCAGCAGGGAGACAGGGACTGGGCTGGTGCTCAGGGGTACTCGGGGGGTTCAGGCGGGAGTGCACATGGTGGTAGAGAAGCACCGCTTTAGCCCCGTAGATGGCTGGGTGCAGCACAGCATCAGGCTGCAGGTACTGACGATTCAGATTCACGCCACGTGAGTCCGTGCTATAGGGAAACAGATGGAAAAGGGTCTAGAGGCCTGGGCCAGCCAGAGATGCTAGACGGCAGGGGCATTAGGACACTGACTTGTCAATACAAGGGCGAAGTTGTGCTCAGAAAAAACTGAGAACAGCATCTCTCCTTACTGACTTGCTGTCACCCCTACCTCCACAGAATGGTGAAAAGCACAAGAGGATTGGGAATAGAGAAGAAGCTAGAAAGTTTCACTGAGAAGCAGGGCACAGGAGGCCGGACACAATCCAGACAGGCTGGGGCAGCAACTTACCGGTAATGACCCCGAACCACACCGTCAGGGTTCAACATGGGAATCAGCTTAAAGACAAAGAGGCGACGTAGGGTTTGGGCTCGAGGGTCATCAGGCCGAAGGATGAAGTCCAGAAAGCCATTGAAGACAAAACTAGATGGAGTCTCCCCAGGGTGTACTCTACTGCTTAAGAAGAATATCTGAGATAAAAAGGACAGACATGAGGTCAGGTGTGCTAGAGTTCTGCTCTGACATACACATGGCAGCACGAAGGCACGAAGAACCACTGGACTTCAGCTGGCTGAGTATGTATGCAAGCGGAGTCCCTGCCTCGGGATGCAGGCTCAGCTCTTCAGGCCAACTCATAGCAGCCTTAAGCTCTTCACAATGGCAAAATTAGAGAAAGGACACAGTGCTGTCTTTAGGGTATCCCCACTCACCCTTTTGCCTGTGAAACGGAATGGTCGAGGGGTACTGGTATCAGGAAATAGCTGCTCTAGACGGGGCTCTCTGTCTTCCCGAAGCCCATGGCAAGAGGTGATTGTTAGCAGGTCTACACGGAGTCCGTCCAGGGAATAGCAGAGGAGTTCTCTGTGGTAATAGATGGTGTCCAGGGGACTGCAGGGATAAAAATCATTAAGCCAAGAGAAGTCCTTCACATTCTAGCAAGAAGTAGGCCTTGTCACTAGCCCAGGAACTGTGAAGTCTGGTCCTTCACCCTAATCTCTGGCACCCCACAATCCCTCCTACTATGTATGAAGCTAAGGATTTGGACGCGTGTGCATTGCCAGAATGCAGAGTGTAGGATGGGGTGCACTTTTGTTTTCCCCATTTGTGGTCCCAGTGGGATAATTTTGCGTACACAGAAGCGTTGCTCTCAGTGGGGTAAGACCCAGAAATGCTGGTGAAATTCTGGGTACCAACCAGACTAGGGTTGGAAGAGACGTGAAGGAGGCGAAGTGAGAGAAGTGTGAAGTGGGGGTGGTGGTATGCTGAGATCAGGGTCACACAGAAAAGGGGTTTCCAAACGTGTCCAAAGCCCCACGGGATTCTACACAGAGCAGAGACTGACCAAGTTCTGTTCAGAGCTCTGAGAGCAGACTCCAGCAGTAGCAGAAGCACCTACTTATCCCAGATGGGGCGCGGCAGTGAGAGTGGGGCTGGCACCTGCTCTGAGTAGGGCAGTTCTCTGGAAAGCGCTGGTCTAGCTGCTTTAGCAAGTCCTGGCAGTCGCTGTAGGAGAAGGGGTAGCAGAAGGCGAAGAAGGTGGTAGCCCCTCGGCCCTCCACGAAACGGTGAACAAAGGACAACACGAACTGTGTCTCTGTCATCTGAGAAGCAGAGGAAGGAGGGGCGACATGTGCTCCGCGAACCGTGCTTCTGTCGGGGCTCCGGGAACACACTTCACCGCGTTCTTGGCTTTGCCAGCTCCCCCCGCTCCATCCCTTCCACCTGACAGCCAGCTCGCAGGCTTCCTAAGAGAGCTCATCCTGGGTCCTGCTGCTTATCACTGTCTATCAAATACAAACTTCCTGTTTACCTTCCTTTACTAGCACCCGAGCCCTTTGTTTGTTCCTCACGGAGAACTTACCTCAAAAGTGGGCCGGTCTCGAACACGTTCCCAGCGGGGCCGGCTGGGCAGTGTGCGCACAAAGGGGGCCATGCCCTGGGAATACAGCTTGCTCTGCTTGTTCATGTTCATAATATTGATTTTGATGAGTTTCCCTGGAATTCCTCCCCGGACACTGAAGTAAAACCATGATCTGACGGCCAGAGGAGGAGACACAGATGTTTCATGTGGGGGCTGGAGGGAGCCAAGCTGGCAAAGGGTTAAGGAGAAGAGGGGAGAGGGCTTGGGAGAGGGAAGGACTGCCTTGGTATGAGCAGGTAAGTCAGTGGACACACTGATCTGGGCACTGCCCCTTCCCCCTTCGCCCATCCTCCATTTCTTTCCTCATACCTGTTGCCGTTCTCAAATTCCGTCTCGGCACAGTCTGGCCGGGTCCACACATTGAATTCGTAGTCAGGGGGCGAAGAGACACCACCAGTGGGGGCTGATGCCCCAGCTCCAACTCCTTCCCCATCCCCAGACGTGGATTCCACCTTCTCCACATGGGCTAGGTTCCCTGAATCAAAGCGAGAACTGAACAGCAGTCCCCCACAGCGCAGCTCCATAATGGGACCGGGAAAGCATCCTCCTGCACCAGGCTGGCCCTGAGAGCTGGGGAAAAATGGGGTTGTGTAGGGAGAAGGGGAGAGAAAAATGAAACAAGACTTCTAGGTATGAGTGAGAGGCAGTCTTAGGGAATGCCCTGTAAACCAGAATTCTCCTTAGAAAACACAGAAAAGGCCTTCCAGCAAGGCCAAGAGAAAGCATCATTCCACACTGCACACGGAGGGTTACCACTGACCTGAAAGGACCCCGTTTCACTACAGAGCAGCTGTTCCCAAATCAAATACCCACAGGCTTAACAGTGCTAAGAAACACTGGCCCGAAGGCTTTTTGCAGCCCAAAGAGTAGGGCCTAGAGGTCAACTTCCCAAACCTAGCAAGGGTAACCACAGCACAAGGCCACATTTAGAAATGGACCCTTCTAGATTCGTGTCCTACGTTGGCTGGCTATCACTCTCCAGCGTAGAGCAGAGAACTGTTCTGATGTTTGAATGGGTAGCTTCCCTTATTCCTTTGTGCTCAGAAGCACTGGCAGAACTCTGATATTGCTCTCTTGAGCCAAGAGCTAGTTCCTTTCTTTTTGGGGGTCGGGGAGCCGCGCCAATCCGATGGAAACTGGAAGAAAGCTACAAAAGCATGGCCTTTGCTCATCCGTACCTGCAGCTCCACACGAATTAGGGAGTGGGTCTATTTCCATTCCCCAAAAGCTACCTTGGTGCTTGTGGGTAGTGCGTGTCCTAAACACCCCTAAAAAAGCTGGACGGTCGAGTCTTTGGAGTAAGGGAGTGGCTACTCGCCTCCCACCGGTGGGGGACCCTCACATCTCAGGCTTGCCCTAGGGAGGGCAGGCTTTGGAGGTACGGGAGGGGTAGACAGACACAGTGAAGGGGGTGGGGAGGCCCGGTCTAAGGTCCGAGGGGCGGCCAGGGGGGGCTGGGGCGCGGGCATCGAGAAGGGCTCGGGTGAAGGGGGCTGCAGAAAGGGGGCGGGGCCGGCGGGGCCGCGGTCCACGCAAAGCCCCTCACCTCTCTCTGGACTGGCGCTCCCGCTCCCTCTCCCGCTAGCGAGGCGACACCTCGGGCCCCGGCACCCGAGTCCTCCACCCTGGACCCAAACAAAACCCTAGCACCGCGGTGCCGGGACCCCGCTCTGCCAGGAAACAAGAAGTCTCTCGCCTATTGGCCACGGTCGCAGCTGGCTACCCGCCCAGTAAAGCGCGCTGCCATTGGTCAGCGCCTTCGCGCACGTTAGTGCTACCTGAGCGGCGGCCGTTGGGGTCTCGCCGGCAGCCTCGCCAGGGCTGCGCGCTCCCGCCGCGCCCTCCCCCGGGCGGGTAACCGCCTCCTCCCGCAGGCGGGAGAGGCCAAGTTGCTTTGGGGGCGCTGGGAAAGGCTCACCTGCGAATAAAAGGAAACCGTGCGTGGGGCTGTCGCCGTCCGCCGAGACCCTCCGCGCACAGAATATATAATGTGGAACACACCCACCCGGTTCAGCAGGCCTCCCCGCCGCTGGGGGGTGTCACTGGTGCGATAGGCAAAAACGCTACTGGAGGATGCGGGCATCGATCCCGCTACCTCTCGCATGCTAAGCGAGCGCTCTACCATTTGAGCTAATCCCCCGGCTGCTAGAGCCCTGCTTCTCTTTGCTTTCCAGGTTGTGCTGGACTGTCCAGGACCTGTGGCTCCCTCCCAGTTCCGGCTGTTAATAGAGTGCCGTGGGACTACGGCAAGATTTTGAAAAGCAGGTGTAAAATAATTATACATAAACGACACAAGTCACCGCGCAGTATAAGGAAAAGAATTGTTCCGACGCGCAGCCGCGCTTAGCGTACTCGGAACTCGCGGTGCATGTATACTTCACTCCTTTCGGCAGCACCCGTGCAGCGCTGCCGCCGGCCCTGCAGAGGACGCTTTCCGGGTGTAGGGTAATCGATGGGAAGTAAAGCCAAAAGGTATAGGAAGTCCTTCGAGCCGGAATCGAACCAGCGACCTAAGGATTACTACAGCAAGCCAACTACAGTCCTCCGCTCTACCAACTGAGCTATCGAAGGCCCCGCTGAGGCAGCCTTTTGCTGGCTCCTTCTAATGTTTACTGAGGCCGCACTTTTTTTTCCCCAACGTTTGGCTGGATTTTGCTTGTTTCAGTTTTCAGGCAAAAAGGCTCTTGGTGGCCGGAGCCCTACGGACCTCGCAAAGCAGAAGCTGGACAAAAAGAAGAGAAAGAGACGCTGCCCGAAGCCCGGTGCCCAGGGCGCGGGAGACCCGGGCAATGTACTTCTCTGACGTTTTCTTGCTTTTTACGAAACTCTGCCTGCAACTCAGTGACGCCTCCTACCCGGTTGCAAACGCGCAGCCGGGTCCCAAGCCGGAGCTTCTGGGCAGCGCCTCTTCCGATGCGCCCAGCGGGTCTGCACTGCCCCGGGGATTCCGCCTGCGGCTCCCGCGAGTGCCCGAAAAATGCGTGGCCTCGTGGTGCGAGTATTATAAGCAGCTAAATTAGACAGAAATTAATATACAGTCACAGAGGGACTGGGATCTCCAGGAAGTCAACGAAAAACGAAGACATCAGTATTGTGGCTGGAGGCGCATCTGAAGGAGACCAGGTCTCAATGGTGCAATGGTCAGGTGCACAGGCCTTCCTAAGGGATAAGCAGTAACTTGAGACTATACTCTAATTAGCACCACCTGGCCAGGGAGTCCGGCGGGGCATCAGCTGCCTAGGTGGGTGGCCAGCGCATGCGGACCCATCCCTTCCCAAAACTGTTCTGGTTCTTTCCCTGTAACCCCCAGGCGAACTTGCTTTCCTGTCGGCTCAGTGTTAGCTAAGCGGCTCTATTTGCAATCCTCTGTGTTGACTGTATCCTCATCGTGACTTTGCTGTATAACTTAACCCCTGACAATTGCCCTCCTCAGCGGCAACTCACTGGAGGCCCCCCTGTCTCTCAGGAGCTATGCCTCCGCCCGGATAAACCTATGCTGCTCTTAACTGCCTTTGTCTCTGAAATTCATTCTTTTATTTCGGGGGACAAAAACTGAAGATACCTGACATCTAGCAGGTTGGGAGTTGTAGTTCTCCTTTATTGATGTGACCTTTTGTGTCCAGTTTGTTTCACTTAGCATAATGTTTTGTGATTCATCCAAATTGCAGCACATATTAGTACCTCATTCCTGTTTTGGCTGAATACTATTCCACCACGTGCGTATATTACTATTAGTTTATCCGTTTATCAATTGGCAAACATTTGGGCTTCTTCCATCTCTTGGCTATTATAAAATGTGGTGCTATGAACTATTGTGTTCCAGTTCCTGTGTGGACATATGTTCCATTTCTCTTGTGTATGGTAAGGAGTGGAATTCAGAACACATAAAAATGGTTATCTTTGATTTTTGAAGGACTGCCAAACTTTTCCATGTGGTTATACCACGTTAGATTCCCACTGGGACGGTGGGTACAAGGGCTCTGATTTTGCCATATCCTTAGCCACACTAATTTTCCATTTAAAAATAATTATGGGTAGTATTTTAGTAACTTGAACTCAATTATTAGTGTTTTGTCATTAAAGATATTTTGAAATTACCATTTGAATAGCTATTTCCCATCTTTTGGTTTCACAATTTATTGCAATGTTCATCTTCTTGTTGGACATTTAGTTTATATCTCAAATTTCAATATGGATTTACTATCTAAATGTTTTTACACCTAAATCTTTGCCTATATTTCTGTTTTCTTCTGTAGAATACTTTTTTTTTTTTTAAAAGCAGATCTCAGGCTAATTTTGAACTCACTATGTAACCCAGGCTGGCCTTGAATTTACAGCAACCCTCCTGTCTCAACCTCTCAAGTGATGGGATTACAAGCATGTGCCGTAGAACATATTTTTCCCCCAAGGCCATTTTATTTCAAAGAGGAAAAAACCCCACAAAGTTTCAAAACACAGCGATCAGGCAACAATAGTACATACATTGAGCACTGTCACCCCAAATCAGTCACCCAGAGCACAAGACAGCTGTATTCAATTGTCCAAACAATACCAGCACAAACCTTTCTCTTCAATGAACTCAAGAGACATCAGTAATATATCTTAATTACATATGTGTATATATTTGTTCATATATTATTTCTTTCAGTTTCTCACACTAATGAGACAATGTTTACACATGCCTGATTTATTTCACTTATGGGTATGGTCTCAAGTTGCATCCATCCATTTACCAATGAAATTCTCAAGTTTGTTTTTCTTTGTAACTGAGTAGTACTCCATTGTATAAGAGTACCGCATCTTTTTTATCCATTCCTCAATTGATGGGCATTTAGGACATATTTTTCAAAGTGGAGCTGTTTGGTCAAATAGCAGGAGCCTTTCAGCACTGACTGCCAAATCACTTCCCAGAAGTATACCAAACTATGATAGCATTCACTGAGTATATTATTACTTTGAAGAATGTTAATATGATGGGAAAAAGGGGGTGTTTTATTTTGGACTTGCACCTTTTGGGGGGACACAGGGGACTGAACTCAAGGTCTTTGCTGAGCTACATCTGTCATTTGTGCTTCTTTACTGGTGTGATCTTTTATGTCTATCATTTATTTGCATTTCTTTTATATCTGTATTTTGAGACAAGGACTCACTATGTAGTCCAGGGTGGCCTTGAACTCAAGGTGGTCCTCCTGCCTTGGCTTCCTGATTATACCTTGCCTTCCCCAGGATTATTCTTATAGTTCAAGTGTAGAGCAACCAAACTGCACAGCCAGCATACATGGAGTACCACTTAGGAAAAAGGGAGGACTTGCTTCCCTCGGGTCCCTTTGGGAGCCATACTGTGAAGCTTACGTAGACGTTTATACAGCAAAAGGTGCGCCCACTTTAAGCATCCACTTAAACTCCACTCTGCTGAGCATGGTGGTGCAGGCTTGTGATCCCAACACTTGGGAGGCTGCGGCGGGATTGTGCTTCTGAGACCAGCTGGGCTGCATAGTTCAGGCCCAGCCTAGATTATGTAACAAGACTGTCTTACACACACACACACACACACACACACACACACAAAGCATGCACATGTGCATGCCCCAACAAAAAAACAAAACAAATCCCCTCCAGGGCAATAAAATTTAAAAAGGCTCAGAAGTCTTCCAAGCATAGAAACATCTGCCATCTGGGCACAGGGTGGGGCAGGCACCCCCATGGGAAAGACGCCCTAGGGCGATGGCATTCGGCTAACAGAGCAGCAGGACACAGGCATGAGTCCAGCGAGTGTGTCTGTTCTATGTTGGGCTGTCTTGCTTTCTAAAACTGAAGGTGTGAACTGCGCAGAGGAGCACAGAACTCTGCTTGGAGACCTAAGAGAAAGTGTTTCGAGGCTCCCATGTACCATCTTCAGGCCCAGCTGAGAGCTGCTAATAACTGTGGTGCGAGGCACACTCAGATGGCTCCAGTCCCACGCCTGAGACCTGCTGAACTCCAGCTGTGGACAGCCACACCCAGACTGGCTCCGTGAGGCACCGGCTTCCCTCTGCTCTTCCTGGAATGGCTCAGGATACCGGTGCCATCACCTCACCAGCACCCCTGAACACTCTCTGGGGTGCACTCTCCCTTGATTCTCCAGCTCAGCTTGGACTCCTATTTGTCAGCTCTGCAGAACAGAAACAGCGTCCGGATGCCCGGCTTTGCTCTAATGGACAGCAGGGGCTGCGCCGGGTGACTCTTGACAGGGAAGTCTGGAGAACTGGACACTGGGCAGACGATCCAATAAAGCCAAATGAGTGTCAGTGTCCCCGTGAAAGCCTGTGAAGACTCCAATTAACCCAAACTGATAAAGAAAAACGTTGCACCCCAAGATTATAGCAAAAGAAGTTAAATCCAGCACACACACCTGCGGCCAGCCGAGCACTTGCGGCCCTCTCAGCTGCTGGACTCGGAACTCAGGCCAGCAGCCCGGACCCGTCACCTGTCACCGGGGTGGCGCACTTGTCCCGGGCTGCGTGGTCTCAGGCCCACAAACGGGCCCTCCTCTAATCTGGCCCCGGTACAGGCCAGTTACAGGGGCACTGACGCTGTCTGTGGCCAACTGCTAAGGAAGAACTGCGGAAACGGAACCTAGCCTGGGACCCTCGGCAAGCCAGGCCCAGGCTCGGAGCGGGACCAGCCTCTCCCAGGGAAGGGTGTCACTGGCCATCTGCCGCGAGGTGAGCGAGGGGTCTCCGGGCACAGGCTGTGTGCTTTCAGAGAAGTGGGAAACAAAGGCAGGAGACGCCATCGCCTTCACTGTCTCACTTCCTGGCACGAGGTCTTCACAGTTGCTTCCTTACAATCCTGCTGCTGGAAATGGGGTGTCTCAGGCACCCCAGGAAAGGAAAAATGGTAACAGGCTGCCACCCCTGCTTACTCGTGAACTCATGGGCAGGGGTGGCACCTCTAGCACTGTGCCCGAGCCATGCTGGGAAAGGAACTTGGGTGACAACTGAAACAGCAGCTACTGCTCGCCTCAAACCAAAGCAGGGGCAGGGTGACAAGTGCTGGGCGGCCTCCTACTCACTGCCTAATTAAAACGAACCGACTCATGTATTAAGGTCCGAGCAAGGCAAGGACACCAGCGAAGAATTTCCTTAGGAGACCTGACCTGTGCCGTTTTTTTTTTGGTCTCCTTCAGACAAGAGTTTCCCTATGCAGCTTAGGCTGGCCTTGGGCTCACTTTGTAGCCCAGGCTGGTCTCGAACTTGCAACGATCCTCCTGCCTCAGCCTCCCAAGTGCTGGGAATTACAGAAGTGTGCCACTACACCTGGCTGGTCCATTTTTTAAAGCACTCAAACTGCTGGGCACAATGGCACATGGCTGTGATCCCATCACTTGGGAGGCTGAGGCAGAAAGATCGAGGCCAACCTGGATTATATAGGAAGTCCAAGGCCATCCTGGAACACATGGCAAAACCCTGTCTCAAAAAACCAAAACAGAACAGAAGCTATCAAGGGAAATCTCAGGACACAAATCTGTTTTAAGTGAAAATTAGCAGCAAAAGCCAGGAGTCTAGTTTTGATCGATGAATGTGGACTTCCCTGCCAGCTCAATTATAGCCAGGGCCTATGACCCCAGGGGGGCCGAGCCCATTCTTTGCTGTCCTGCCCCATGATTATGTGAATTCTGCCTGTGTAAGGGTGCAGAGAAGAAATCTAGAAAGCAAATCTGTGTCTTTATTCCACTCAGGCCGCCCTACCCCAGCCACCTGCTGACCTCTGGGCTCAGCAGGCTGATGTGAGGCTTCTGGCCTGAGCGTTCAGGGTCAGGCTGTGCTCTCCACGCGGACGGTGGAGGGGACGGTGAAGACCACTGAGCCTGTGACAGAGCCCTTCACTGAGGGGAAAGGACAGATGAAGAAGGACTCCGATAGAGGGGGGCGGCGAGGCCCTCACAGTGCCTGTGCTGGGTGTTTCAAGGCCCCTCATCCAGTGACCCCACAACCAGGCAGAAGGCTCAGGAGAAGCTCCTGCTGGCTATGTCGTGGTGGATCCTTTGGGTGGGCCTCACCTTGTTCTGCTATGGCTAAATTCATGACCAAGAATTCGAAGAGGAGGCTGATAAATTTGCTGAGTCTCACCATTTTGGAGATGAGCTGTTGGGGCTTTAGGAAGGAGACGAGGGAAGTGGAGGGCAAGAGGCAAGAGTCCTGAGAGGCTGCCAGCCGAAGACGGAGCTGGAGCTCTGCAGTGGGCCTGACAAGTGTCCCAGGGGGCTCGCGGTGGGAGGCTGAGAGGTCTCTGGGCGACCACCAGGAGATGAAACTCAGGTACCAAATACAGAGCTGCCACCATCTGTCCTCCGGCAGTCTCAGATGGCCTGCTGATGACAGGAACCGGTGGCCAGGGGGCAGGGTCTACTGCTGGGATATCATGGTGAGTACCCAGTCCAAGAAAGCCACTGTGATGTCCTGTAGGCAGAGCCAGGTCCAATGGGCAGTCTCGCTGAGCTGGGTTTTCACACAGTCCCATGTCACTTCACCTCTGGGAGAAAAGCGAGACATTTTAAGGGCAAGGGTGTATGCCCAGGGCTGCAGCTTAGATCCACAAGCCTCATCCCCAAGTAGTCAGATGTGGGCGAAGGGCAGTGTGGCAAGAGTGAAGCCTCGCCCTGGGTCAGGCAGTGAGGTCACAGACAGGACGGACGGTGGCAGAGCCCTGGGGGAAGCCTGACCTGCACAGCTCATGGACATGCTCCTGGGCCCAGGCCAGGGCCTCCAGCAGCAGGTGCCATGCTGGCAGCAGCACGCTCTGGTACACAAGCAGGAGCAGCTCCCTCAGGTAGTGTAGCAGCTGGTACAGAGCATCAGGAAGCTGGATCTGCAGCCGGACCGCAGGGACGGTGGGGTCAGGGTGACCAGGCCCTCAGGATCCCATCCATGTGGGGCGTGCTCTTCCCTCCGCCCTGGGAAGAGCAGCCCTTCTCTGGCTCTGCTTCCAGCTTACCCTCTGAGAGAGGCTGGCGAGGCTGTCACTGAGCCAGGCCAGGTGGGAGGCACAGTGGGCAGAGAGGAAGCTGATTGCGGAGCTGGTGTGGGCCCAGGCCAGTTGCAAGCTGGGCGACACCACCGCGAGCAGGTAAGAGCTGCAGGCCGGCAACGTTTCTTCTAACCAGCTGCAGAGGAGTCAGAGAGAAAGGGCGGGCTGAGGCTCCTCCAGAGCTCTGCCACCCAAGAGCTGGGGAAAAGCAGGCCACGGGGAAGGGTAATCACAAGCATTTCCCACTGACTGTAGATACCGCCAATGTCTGCACTACCCTGAACCCCGAACCCTTCCCTCACACCCCTCCCCTCCTGCCTTGGGAGCAGCTCACCTGTAGGCCTGCAGGCCATAGGCGTAGAGTTTGGCACACACTTGTTGGCCAGCAGGCAGGAGACCAGACAACTGAAGCACCCGGCCAGTGACAGAGGCTGAGTAAGGAGGCTCGCATGAGCTGGGGATGAGGGTGACTCGGGAGACACACACTCAGGTCCCAGGGAGGCACAGTGGGGAGGGCAGAGAGGTGTGAGCTCGCGATCACAGAGCCAGCTTGGTCTGTCCACAGCAGGCTCAGGGCAGAGGTGGCGTCCTGGACTTAGGTGCTGGAAGCCTGAGCTGCGATCTTACGCTAGCTTCAAAGTCTGCCTGAGCCTCTCAATGCTGTGAGCAGGTGGAGGCAACACCATCTTGTGTGACATCGTGCATATGCAAATGTTTCTATGCTACTAATCGTCCAATTTGTGGTCAGAGAAGCCCAGCTCAACTCTGTTTATCTGCGGCACTGAGAACTTGGCAGCACGGAGTGAGGCTGGGGGTGTAGGTGACACCTAGCTCTGTGCCCCTGCGCTGCTCCCTTCCGTGGTCACCATCGCTGCTTACCCTGGAAAGAGCCGTGAGACCAGAAGTCGTGGCTCAGGACACCCACAGCGAAGATGGGCAGCAGTAGCAGCAGCCAGGTCCAGGCTGGCCAGGGGCCCTGGGCCCGCTGCAGCAAGCCCTGGTGGGGAAGGGGAGAGTGCTGTGGTCAGAACAGAGCCAGGCACTTGGGATTCCAGCACTCTGGGAGGCTGAGGCAGAACTGCAAGTCTGAGACCAGTCTGGGCCAAAAAGTAATTTAGGGAGACTAAAAAGAAAAGTCTTTCACAAAGGGACAGGGATGCAGCTCGGGAAAGGACCTGGGTTCCACCTTCAGCGCCAGGGGAAGGGGAAGTGAGTGCTGGCAGAGGTGGGGCACGGTGGTCAGAAGGGGAAGGGAGGCCAGAGCCCCTTGGGGCCCGAATATCAATTCTGAGGCAGCAGGGGGCTCCACTCAAAGGTGGGGTGTGACCCTGGGCCAGGCCACAGGCGGGCTGGAGAGGCTGGGCGCCACACCTTGCAGGCCGTGTCACACGTGGCAACTTGCTGGGTGTTCCCGCTGCCCCTCTTCAGCAGCTCCTGGTTGGTAAGCTTGAGGGACTGAATGGTTTCTTGTAAAGACATCTGCGTCTGTAGGATACCAAAGCAGGGCTGAGAATGTAACACTCGACCTGCAAGGAAATCCAGGGCCTGCGCCTGCTTCAAGTTCCAGTCCAAGCGTGAAGACCAGGGCTGAGGGGTAGGACCCAGCTCCTCACCTTCTTGGGGATCTGCTCCCAGGACCTGAGAAGGTGTTCCAGCAGCAGGCTGTGGGCAAGCACAACCCTCCATCAGGCCACCTGTCACTGGCCCTCCCATCCTCCTGCCCACATCCTCTGTAGACTGTCTCCCTCCACCCCTGCCCCCAGAGGAGCAGCTCTTAAGAGACCATCTGGGCCATGTTCCCACTGCAGCTGACAGGCTTGAGCCCACGAAACAGCCACCAGGTTCCTGTTCTGCTTCCAGGACAGAACCTCAGGCCACTCTGTCTGTGTGTGGCAGAGGTGGGGGACCCCACCCCCACCTGCCTGGACTGTGGTAGGTGCTTGGGGTACAGCTGCTTCCAGATGTTGGTACTGAGGGGGTCCACAGTCAGGCACTGGGTCAGGCTGCTCAGGAGCTGCACAGGGAACAGAAGAGACTTCTGGGAACAGAACAGAGGGCAAGCACAGAGGCCACCAGGGCATCTGTCCACCCCAAGGGCAGAAAAAGAGCATCAGGACCTAGAAAGCTGAGTGGCTGCCTTGGGTAAGGGGCTCAGTGTTAAAAACATCAACGTAAGGATCGCACATCCATGAGTAACAGGGCACCAGACACCCCCAGGCCTGCATGTTGCATCCTTTCAGGCCCCACCCCCCAAGGGCAGAGCAGGAGTGGGCAGGGCAGGGGGATACGGGAGAAGGATAGGGGATCAGGCGGCTCCCGGGCAAGGCCAGGCCTGCCACAGCCCCTCACCTCCTTCTTCATCTCAGAGGAACAGTTAGGGGTGACTCTGGACAGGAAGGAGGGGAAGTAGACGTGCAGCGTAGATTCTGGTTTTGCTCCAAATGCCAGCACCTTCAGTCGGGGGTACAGCCGACACAACTGCTCCCGCACACTGGGGAGGCACAGAGGCCAGGCCTGAGCTGTGCAGGGGCTGCACCTCCTGCCTCTTCCTGCTGCGGGGCCCACGCCCTTCCTCTCAGGGCCTCCTGAAGGCACTCTTTTTACTGAAGGACCGCTTAGAAAATCTGATGAAAGCCAGGGACCTTTTCCCTAAGAAAATGTCCATAAGCTAATCACATGCAAGCTTCATATAATATCAAAGGTCCATCTGTCCCTTGAAATCTATCTTGAATGTCCAAGTCACAATCCAGAGCCAGGTGGCAGGGGGAAGAGGGAACGGGAATGCAGTGGCCGGGTGAGTCCCTGACCGCCACTGAGGGCCCTTCCCAGCAGGTGTGCCCCGGGGCAGTCCTACCTGGGCGTCAGGGAGTTGTTGGGCATATAGGCAAAGTCCAGGAGCGGGAAGAAGTCCTTGGGGCCAATTGTGCCGAAGCCCTTGGTGAGGTTGGGGTGGATCCTATGGGGAAAGGAAGAATCGGGCTTGCTGGAGATCACCAGCCAGGCCAGCTGTTTTGACCACAACCACAGCCCAACCCACAATAGGAAAAAGGGTATAAACCCCACCCCCAGCCCTTTCCTTCCTCACCATCACATTCAGAGGTGGGAGGAGCTGGTCCTGATTGTCCTGGAATCACTCTACGCAGGAACAGCCTGTGGGTACCCGGGGCCTTCCCCTTGCCGTCCCCCCATTACTCACTGCAGCAGCCGGTCCAGGTATGTGATGGCAAAGGAAGACAGAGACTTGATGCCCAGCACAGGCAGCATGATCCCCAGCCACACTGTGGAGACAAAGGTTGGAGAGGAAGCCCTGGGCCTGCCCACAGGGGACCCCGACCAGGGCCGGGCTCCAGCATCGGCCCCGTACCCCACTTCCTCCCTACCTTTCAGTCCCTCAGTGAGGCTGGTGAAACCCGCTTGCCCCACGGCCCACATGATGGTCAGGCACTTCGCTGGTCGGCTCTGGTGGGACCTCAACAGCTCTAGGAACTAAGGAGACAGGTGGGGAGGGCAGGTTGGGACAGGCGGAGCTCCAGGACACCTCAGAGCCAAGCGGGAAGAGCGACATCAGGCGGGAGAGGCGCGCAGGCCGAGTGGCGGCGGGCCGTGCCGCCAGCATGGGCTGTAGTTCAGAGCATGGGCATCACTGCACTCTGCCGTGTCCTGGCTGAGCACCCTAGGAAAGCTCTGAAGCGCCAGGTGGCACAATCTTTCCACTGACAAGAGGGAAGGGCAGTGCCGGCCTCATGCACATCCGGAGCAGACGCACAGTACGAGCTGAGAGTGTAGTGCAGAGTTTCTGGTGTTCCAGTCCTCTGCCTTCCTCCGACTGAGCCCCACATTGGATTCTTCCTGGTCTCCCCCGGCCTGGTCAGGTGTCCCCAGCATCATTTGTGGCTTACCTTGCCCAGGCTTGCGGTGACAATTTTGGGCTTGTCCTGCAGGATGGCCTGGATGCAGATGCGGTAACCGTGTAGTGATTCCCCTAGAGACATTCACGTTCTCAGACCTACTCACCCTACTTGGCATCCCACACCTGATTTCACCTATTTTGGGGGCAGCTGTGAGCCTAGAACTCTAGCCGATGAGTCCCGACCTCTTCCTCCCTTTCCAGAGTGTCGGATTAGCACGGTCCTTTGCCCCCAAGATCTCACTCCCCAGGGCTCCTCTTACCTGGTGTCTTATCCAGCTCCTGCAGCATGGTGAACAGACAGTGGTCAAAAAACAGCTCCAGCGACGCCGGTGCCTTCGTCAGGAGCCCTTGGATGATCCCACGCAGCTCCCAGCTCACCAGACTGTAGGGATAATCTGGGGCCATTGGCCTCCACGTGAGTCTAACACCAGGTGCCCCCCTGGTCTGACTGGAGGCAGAGGTCTCTGCACTGAGGCTGGCCTCCTCCCTCTTCCAAGGAAGCCCCAGGCCCACGCATACCCACGTGTAAACCACACATGGGAGGCAACGTGCTGTTGGAAACTCACAGCCCCTTTACAATTTCCTTGACCCCGTGCGAGCTGAGGGAGGGAGGGAGGTGGGAAGACTAACCGTGAGGGTGCTGGCTGAGTGTGGGCTCACTCCGAGGGGCCTGGAGCTTGTAGTTGAGGTAGCTGGCCAGGTCCTTCAACCACACGGAGGGATTCCCAGTGAACACGCTCTGGCTCTTGTCCAGTTCCTTCTGTAGGGCTGCCACGTCCAGCTGCCAGAGACACAGCTTTATGGTGAGTCATGAGCAACCAGGAGGGAAACGGGGTCTGGGAAAACGGCTACATGAGCGGTGGTACAAGAAGCAAGGGTCTCTGTTTTTAAAGCAACTATGGAGAAGGGGCCAGGGATTTAGCTCAGTGGTGTAAGCATCTGCCTGGTAAGCGCAAGGTCATGAGTTTGATCCCCAGTACCAAAAAAAAAAAAAAAAAAAAAAAAAAGAAACAAATTCTGTAGAAAGCAAAAAATTTTCTAATTCCAGACCTTGAAAAAGTAAAGATCAGTTCAGCTGAGAATACTGTTCTCTTGGGCCTACATCTGTAGGACCACCACATTCAAGGGAAGAAAACAAAGGACAAGATGAGTGACGAAAGACCACTGCTTCTGTGGCACAGGGAACCAAACCAGCTCTTCTGTCCCCTCTCTCGTGTCTGTGACCTTCAACACTTTCTTCTCTCCCTTCTGTGCTTCCCTATACATTCTCCATTTCCATTCTGCTCTAAGTAAAGCATTCTGTCCCTTTGGGGTTTCCACCTTTTCCCGACCTTTTCAACTAATGATGTCCCAAACCCCAGTTCCCTTAGCTGTGCTGATATCAGGGAGTGAAACTCCCGACCTACTATGTCCACGAGTTTGTGTTCTCTAAAATCAAAGTATGAATTTTAGGAACAACGGAGCTAAGAGTAGGATATATTTATTGAGAGAAACAAAGCTTCTGTCTGAGAGAGACAGAAGGGGTCCCGAGCGGGTTGCCAAGGACTCTGTCTTTTCCAGGCACTTTTATAGAGCAAAATCATGGGGTGAGATGGGTTTAAGGTGGGGAAAACTGGGAACTCACAAGGCAGATGGACATAAGGGGGGACAGAACTATGGTTAACCAGTAAGATTAATAGTTCAGGGAAAACTGATTAGGGACAAATGGGGAAGTGAGTCAGGTAAAAAGCAGGCATTCTTAGGGAACAGTGACTCTTTCCTTAGAGGGTTGGGATGGTGACTGCTGACTTCCTCAGGGTGATGGGGAACTATTTAGAATATCAGTCCTTAGGAAGTGGGTGTATTTGTTTGATCTTTTGTCTTGAGGCCTGGCCCACAGCAGGTGTCTGTCTCCCAATAGCTGCAAGGTCTCTGGGCTTCTGCACTGGCTCCATTGAGGACCCAGCCCTGTCTCACTGCCTATAATATTTCTGACTAACTCAGCTGCCTTGCAACAATGCCCCCTGCTCCCACCCCACCTTCTTTGTACTTGAAGACCCTGATCTTTCCATGCCTCAAGACTAGGCATACTCACCATTTTCAGGGCTTCCTCCAGGCTGCGGAAGCTGCTCTGCTTCTGATTGTGGCTGGTGACAGCTGCCACCTTCTTTGGTTGCTTCTTATTTGCTGGTTTCTTAGGCTCCACAGCAGGAGGTGGAACCTGTTCCTTATTCTGTTGCTTCTTGGTTTTCTCAAATCCCCGCTCATAAAGGGTGCTGGTGGTCTGGATTGGAGCTAGGGCAAAGCGAGGTAGAGAAAGAGGGGCTGTCCTTAAGTCCCCCAGGTCTCACAAGGATAGTGGTCTCTTCTCTCACCCTGTCACCTGCAAAGCTGGCTTTGAACTCCTAGTGATCCTCCTGGCTCAGCCACCCCAGTGCTTGGTTTATCCCCATGTGTCAAAGCCACATTCTGTAGGCTCCTTAGGAGCAGAGCAGGGGGCGCCCATGGTGGTTGTTTCCAGTCATCACAAGGCCAGTCTGTGGTCCTTGCACAGGAGCAGGACACTTTTTTTTTTTTATTATTACACAAATCAAAGCACGTGGAAACTAGTAGATGAGTGGACACAGAGTACTGGCTTATTTTACACTGGCTCTACCCTAATTCCTATGGACTCTGAAGTGACAACTTTATAAGCAACAAGTGACAAGCTTTCACCACTCCCCGGGAGACTGAGGGCACAGCTGCCAGCAAGACGAACTCCTGGTGTGGCGGGCCATTTCTCCCACTGCTGGGCCCCCTGCCCGGCCCTCCCGACCTGCTGGTTCCTTAAGGACTGGGCACTGTTTAAGATCCAGGATGCTTCTGCCCGAGTCCAGGTAGGGCAGGGACAGGTGGGACGGGTGAGCGCAGTGGCCTGAGCAGCTGGAGACCAGAATTCCAGTCTCTACGGACTTGGCGACCCAAGGCCAGCTGTCCTTTTCGCCGCACCTCAGTCTACCCATCGGTGCGCTGAGGAAGGCCATCTAGCTGGCTGGCCGCTGCCCAGGCAGGCCCGGGACAGCAACGGACGGTACTCACGGGTCAGGTCGTACTTCCACACTCCGTTCGCCTCTCCGAGCGCCCTGCGATCCCCGCCGCCGCCGCCGCCACGCCCGCCGCCGCCGCCACCGCGCCCACCAGCGCCGGCCCCCGGGCGCCGTCCCCTCTTCACCACCTCCCATCGCCCCTCGCCCGCCGCCTTGGTCGCCATGGCTCCAGCCCTGCGCCCCTACCCTCCCACCCCCCGCTTTCCGGTAGGCGCCGGCCGCGCGCTGCCACGCTGCCACGTCTCCCCTCCGCCGTGCCGCGCGGGGCAGCCTGGGACTTGTAGTCTCCGCCGGCGCCAAACTCAGCCCCGCCCCGGCCCGCGGGGATCCACAGATTCCTCCTGCCACCTGATGCCTTGAGGGCTCTGCATGGGAGTCCTCCAATATTCCTTGGCGCTAGCAGGATAGAATGGAAATGTTCTCACCTGGGGAGAGTTTGAAGCTTAAATGCTTCTTTCATTCTAGGAAAGTGGCCTTATTTCTGTTGCTAGGGATTGAACTTTAGGTTTGATGGGCACTAAGAAATCTATTTCGAAAGCAGGAAGAGGACCGGGTTTGAGGGGAGAGGCAGAGGGCAGGGAGGGCCCCATGTGGAGAAGGCTCTGATAGGGTACCCACTGTGGGAGGCTGAGCAAGCCCTGGACAGCATGGGAAACAGCCTCTGGCTGCAGACTCGGTACCCATCCCCTGCCCAAGATATGGTAGGGTGGTGGTGAAGAGTCCCTGAGTCCCGCAACGGGTGTGTGTGTGTGTGGGGGGGCATCTCTCACGGGTATGTTTGTGTTTTCAGTACAGAGTCTCACTCTGTAGTCCAGGCTGGTTTTGAGCTCACTATGTAGTTCAGGCTGGTCTTGAATTGGAGTGGATTTTCCTGCCTCAGCCTCCTGAGTACCAGGATTACAAGCATGTACTACCACGCCCGGCAGCGGCAGCAGGTTCTTTAGTGATACCTGAGCTCAGGGAACTTTGCAGCTCTCAGCAGGGGAGGACCATGGTATGTGCTATTTTGTGTGCATTTATGTTGAGGTTCACACCTGCCACTAGTAGATATTTTACCTGTTGTAGAGATCGAATTCCTGGAGCGGATGCAGTCTTAGGAAGGAGATTAGGGCAGGAGCTCTCTAAAGGAGATGGTGGTTGAGATGCGTCCTGAGAAATAGGGGAATTTTCACTGGACTCCAATTATATGAGTCCCTTTTTCTTCCCCCTCTTCTCCTCCTTCTCTTCTCTTTCTTCTTTTCTGTTCTCTCTTTTCCCTTCTCTCTTCTTGCTTCTTTCTGCGGTTTAGGTGAGGCTCACTTCAACTGCAGGGCTCAAATTATCTTCATGCCTCAACCTCCCCAGCAGCTGGGACTTCAGGCGCATGCCTCACTGGGTGAGGCTGAGTTAATTAATCTAAACCAAGACCTAGAGGGCAGGAAGTGGGAAGTGTGCCCCCACTTAATAGGATTTGGGAGGTGATAAGGTTGGAAAGGGATGTGAGCACATAAGCCAAGGGCCTTCCCTGCTGAATCTGGACTTCATCCTCTGGCCCGGGAAAGCCAGTGGGGAAGTGTGTGATCCACTGTTTTGGGAAGGAAAATGGGGCTGTGTGAGGGATGGGCTGAGGGGGATGACCATGGCACGAAGTGACCCACGGCTCCATTAAGCCTGACCACGAAGGACTTTGCCTTTGGGATCTCTGAAATGGAATGCTTTTGCCAAGGAACATATAGTATTTGAGCTGATCCTTGATCAGTTTCCCATATTATTGGTTTGGCTTTGCTCGGACTCCCGAAATTCCTCTTCTTTATTTGACCCCTGCTATATCGGGTGTCTGACCACAGAAGAGGCCCTGTTTTCGGAAGTGATGCGGAACAGCCTCTCCATAGGGGCAGAGGTGGGACTACTCTGTGATGGCGACTGGAGGATGCAGAGGGCTTTCTCCACCCTCACTGGAACGGTCCAGCAGGTTGTCTGCTGTAACGTGGAATGTAGGGGACAGGAGCTGTTCAGATATGTACCCAGCAACATTCCTGGGTACCTTCTCTGAGTCAGGCCCGATGCTAGGTGGAGCAAAGCCAGGGTTACACTTCATTTGTTCATGAGGGAGACAAATGAATAGAAATTTATATTCACCTTCAGTGTTACACATTGTAAGTGTTACAGGTTCATGCTAAGTGTTAATGATACACTTAATGTGAAGTGCTAGAAAGGCATGGGGAGGAGTTTTCCACCCCCCCCCCCCCCCCCAGCTTGGGTATTCCAGCTGCAACCTTAGACACACGCGGTGGGCGTGAGCAGGTATTCCCATGAGGGTTGAAGACTCCGAAGATGTTGGGCCAGGAAGGTCAGAGGGGTGTCCAGCATGGGGCAAAAAGAGCAGTTCGCTGGTACGATACCACTATAGTTTCTGTAGCAAATTGCCCCAAACTTAGTGGCTTAAAATAATACACATTTATTTAGAGTCTGGTGGGCAAAGTCTGACTTGAGTTTCATTTCTGTCCCTCGCATGCTCCCCTCTCTCGCCCCATCACTAAAATCAAGGCTTGTGTGCCTTTGGAGGCTCTGGGAGGATGCGTTTCCTTCCCTTTCTCAGCTGCCTGTACTCCCTGGCTTATGGCTCCAGGAACCCTCACACCTATCGCTCCGATTTCTTGGACCATCCTCCTCTGCGCTTATAGATGCTCGTGAGGACATCAGGCCCTCACAGCCACTCAGGATACTCTCCCTGTTTTAAGGTCTGCTGGATGGCAGGCTGGCCTCCTCCTGCAACCTTAGTGCCCCTTTGAGCGCAGCCTCACATCCTCATGGACCTATGACTTGGACATGCTCAGAGGGAACCTTACTGTGCCTGCCACACGCACTTGGCCAGCAGGGTGGTTTGGCCTGAAGGTGAGCACTGGGCAACGCAGAATGACTCCTTCACCTTTTTACAGTATTTCCCTGTGACAATGGAGGGGCCATCTTTTAATATTAAGTAAGGGAATTAGAAACCATCAGGATAAATAAAAGCAGGACAAGATGGGCCACAGGGCCAGGCCACAGAGGAGACACAGCCCCAGCTGTATCTCAGTCCCACTAAGGATGGTGAGGAGCCATGGCAGGGTCCCCTTAGCTACAGGTGCGCCCTGAGGCCCCACCTCTGTAGTTTCTGGGAGGCTCTCTAAGCCGTGAGCCTCAACGTCTGAATTCTAGGACCTATGGGCCTCAGAACCCTCACCGGGAAGTGCAGGGTGGCCTAGGTGACCTCGTCACGGTTCACAGTGAGTTTCAGAGCCTTGGCTATCGTGGCTCTTATCAGGTTCACCCTGGAAATGTGGGGCTGTGATGGTGACACTGAAGCTTCCAGGCTTGCTGGTCCCATTAGAGGCTCGTTCTATCGAAGGAGCCGCCTGGACACTGCTGTCCTTGGGCTTCAGCACTGAAGGCTGTCATTTGTGCTTCCTCGTTTTTGCTGTATGTGAACCCTGTCCGCAGCAGCATCACTGTGTGAGCTTTGACAGGCCAGGCTCAACATGCAGTCCAGCTGGTGTAGGGAGACTCTGCTTCCACATGGCACCTCTTGGCCAGCCCCTCTCCTCTCCAATGACACCTCTCACGGCCTTTGGCTCGGGGCTTTGTTCCTCCTCAGGGAGGGGAGTTGGGGTTCCTCATGTTCCCTTTAGAATCCTGTCGCAGGTGAAAAGGGCCATGTCAGAGCCCAGCACCTCTAGTGGTTTCTGATGACCATGGTGGTCACACCACTACCCCCTCTGCAGACGGGGGAGGCCAGGAGATGTGGAGACCGAGACCAGGCTATGGCTCAGCTCAGGGAGACATGGAACTTTTACCACACAAGTTTATTTAAATAAAAGTGAACACATATGCAGGCTGGTGCCGAGGAGCAGGGGTGGGGAGGCGGGCAGACAGCGGGGGGCAGGCAGAGTCTGTGTGGTGCGGACCAGGCTGCAGGAGGGATGGCTAGGACTTTGGGGCAGTGCTGGCCCTTGGTGCTGGATGGGGTCTTGGGTGAGTGAGCCCAGTGCCAGGAGGTCATTTCTGTCCCTCACATGCTCCCCTCTCTCTCCCTGATCCCTCAGCCCCCGGCACTGCCTCCTCAGCCCCTTCCTCTCCTGACGTCAGCCTTCCCTTCAACTACTGGGAAGAGACAAAATAAATAAGAATTGGTGAGTCGTGCCCCAGCCTTGGCATGGGGAAGGGAGCCAAGCCAGGCCTGCTGCCCCGAGCTCGCTGTCGGCCCTGGAAAGGAACAGGTAAAGTGCAAGGACAATCCAGTAAGTAAAAATATACCAATGACTTTGTCAAATATACAGCTGCTGGCTCTCGGGGAGCAGGTGGCTGGCTGGGCGGGTGGCAGCAGCACCCTGGGAAGTGTTGGCTGACACAGCATAGAGACAACGGAAATAAATAGGGGTGGGGAGTGGGCAGGGTTCTGCCCTGGGCAAGTGCCACTTTCTCAGGGGCTGGGACGGGGCCTCTGCCTGCTCCCCTGCCCCATCCTCCCGAGCCCCTCACCCAGCGGCTCCCCAATGCTGCGGCACTGACACAAAGCACCCGGCCGGCCGACTGGCTGAAGGGAAGGACTGTAATGGAGGTGGGCGTGGGGAGGGAGGCACGGGAGGCCGTGCAGTCAGCCAGGGCTGGCGCCGCCCTTAGTACTCGTCCTGGTCTTCTTGTTGGTGTTCTTCAATCTCATCATCCTCGGGGGGTGCGAACCCTTCCTGGAGCAAAGAGAGCGGAGTGGTGAGCCGCAGGCTGGGGCTGGGAGAGCGGCAGGCTGCACTGGTGGCTTGGGAACGAGGGTCCGAGGCCCAGGACCCTGCCTTTCCTGCTAATGGCTGCGTGCACCCCGCGGATGGTGACATCACCTCGCTCTTCATTAGTAAATCCTCTCCAGGCTCCTTTCTGGTCCTGGCTTACTTGTGGATCTAGGGCCAGGCCAGAGCGGGAGACACGGGCCTGGGAAGGGGACACTCACCTCAGTGGCATAGAGGATGCTGATGATGCCCGCGATAACAGGGCTGTTTTCACTTTCGTGCTCCTGGCAGATGAGCTCGATGTCACGCAGTTTGCTGAAGTAGAAGTCACGCTCCTTTTCCAGCCCGTCCACGGTCAGCTTCAAGTCTAGGAGCTGCTCGGGCAGAAGGCAAGGTTCAAAGCAGATGTGCCTACTGCAGACTCCCCTGCCTGCTCTCCTCTTGTCTTTATAGAGGCCCCAA